GTTTAAGAATAGTTATTTGATTTCGACGATTGGGTATAATAAATCAACCAATCATCGTATGAGATACCACTAAATTAAAATGTTTCGATCACCGTCACTTAATTTTTCATTTTTTTTCATCACTAAGCAGTAGTTACTTAGGTCAGATTCTTACTGTTTTTTTCCTTAAAAATCATTTAATTTCATAAATTTGTTACGTTATTTCTTTTCTTTTACTGACTGGCATTAAATATGCTTATTTGGCTGAACAAGAATTTGTAGATTACGAAGTTTTTGAAATCTAGATTATTTTAATTGGATGAAAAAAATTCCTTCCTAAATGTCAGAGCTAACTTTCAACTAACAAATGCATGTCCTTCTGTCTATCCATTATTCATTGATCGATCTTCTATCGTCTTTTGGGATTTTTCGACTTTCCCAAATTGTTATTTGCTTTTGGCATAAAAGTGGTTCCGACTTTATGAATGAGCAAATATATATATGAAAAAATATTTATCCTCACTAACCTATCACTTTCAGAATATTCGATAATATCACTAAAGATATCGTTCATTTGAGTTAGCCTAATTTTTACGTTTTTCTATTCTTTGAAAAGATCATATTAAATTTCAACTTATTTCGAATAAACTGACAACTAACAAAATTACATTTCGATGCAAAATTATCTTACAGCTTGTTACTTAAGAATTTATTTGATTAATAAACTTGTTAGAATAAATTATTTGAAATAGATATTTGTAATTTGAGATACTGCCATATCATGCATTAAGCGAGTAATTAGATTTTGATTTTATCGATTATCTAATCGTATGTAATTCATCCCACATAGATGCATATTCATAAGTTTAATATAAATGAGTACATCGTTCATAAGCCTCTCAACGTCAACTTATATTAGAAGATAACCTTTCAGTTTCATCTTTGCTTCGTTTGCTATCCATCTAGTTTTGATTAGTTTCATGTCATATTTAAACCGAGAAGGTATCAATACTAGTGATGGAAGTATCAGGGGAAGCTTTCTAAGCTCTCGGATCGATTTTGTCATTATTATTAGTCAGGTCAGCTTTCTTAAATGGTTCCAAAAATGAAGGTGGGTTTAATTTGTATTAATTTGCGCAAGGAAATTCAAAATTATATAGATTTGATAAATTCATTAGCTTTATTAATAATAATTTATCACTACCATTAAAATAGAGGATTAGATCGAAAAAATTCAGGAAAGTACTCTTGAAATCTCTATAAAGTTTTTTTAAAGAAGTATTTTAGAAATAGCTTTCCTTGCAGAATTCACTTCTACAGTTTGATCGAAGAAGACACATTTTCACTTTAAAATTTTCTGTATTCTTAACCTGAATTAATGTATTACCTCAATTAATCTCTTCGCTTCTTTCATTTAGTTTGACTTTTTCAACATCGTTTTAATTTATTTCAATTTTGGCTTAAGCTAGTATTTTCATTTTGCATTTACATCTATCCTTGTTTTCCACCGACAAATTTTCTTTCTTTCCAAATCTCTTAGTTTTGCTCTTGGAATTCTGAATTTTTTTGAGGAGGTGTTTCTAAACATTTTATTGCTATGTAATTACTACATATTACCAAATAAAGTTCCATACTATCAAGTTCAACAAGCTTTAATAGAATATATTGGTTTAACGATCGATTTCAAATAATATTTTTTTCTTTTTTTGCTCTCTTTCTTAATATGCCTCTTCACTTCTGTGGATAATTGTTCACATGTTCATTCTCTAAAATGTTGTGGTGATTTTCAACACAATTTAAATCCACAAATGAAAATGGATAAATTGGTTAATGCGAAACATTGTGATGACTAAATCACACATCTTCATGAATATGTGCGAGTACAAAGTGACTGTAAACAACAGTCATAAGGTCAAAGAGGGAGAAGAGGTAACAATAGACACTGTAAAATGTAATGACCCAGAATGTCACTTGTTGGTTTTGCATAGTATTATTTGCACTCTTTAACGGTTAATCCCCAAGTGACCTCACTGATTAACTTGCTGCTCTGAAATACTCCAGCAGATGTTCGCAGTTCGCTCTTTACGAGATCTGTCATTTACCGCTTTTTCCCTGTCCTTACTTAAAATCTTGGAATTTTCTACGGTTCTGGTTATTTCAGCAAATTGAAAGATTATAATATCTGTCTGCTTAATGCGCTATAACAGTATCGTTCGTATTGGACGAAAAATCAAGCCATCCATATCGATTATTCCTCTACCTCGTGCAATTTTTACCGTGATATAGTTAATACATATTATATGGCCATCTTTATTGTACTTCAGTTCTCCCACTTCAAATGCCTTATGCTTCCCACCAATTTCATGTGTCTCGATCCCAAATTTTCATTACTTAATTAGGAGATGGAGAGTTTTCTTTAATTAATTAAAAGGTAAAAAATATTACTGGATATTGTCATTCAAGAAATTCATGGAATCAAGCGAACAACGAAGCAAATCAGGAGGCAAGTAGCACATTGCATTTTGAAATATTGCTAGTACCGAAAGATCTTAAATTTACTCTCTTGACAGCATCGTCTCTTATATCAAAATCTTCAATGCTTAATACTTCTATCATAGTGACAATTGAAAAGATATATCTGTGTTATCCTATGTTGCAACATTCCAAATCTTTTATCCATTTCGAAGTCTCGAACACCATAAAAGTTCCTCCGTGAGTGATGAAAAAACTGGATAAAAGTTTGGTTAAAAAACCGCATGATATTGTTTCATTGATTGGGAAATCTGAAATTCGTTACCTGATCACAGTAGATTGTGAATGCTGCTAGCTTACCTAATTTCTAAATCTATCTTAACTTCCCCTCATGACAAAGCTAACTAGTGATATTTCTCACTACTTTCCCTCACATTTCCTTTCTTTCTACGGCCCGGGTTTGATTTCAGTTCAGTTTTATCCGCGAGGCTACTTATCTTATTGATGAAAATTCAATTTACACAATTAAAGATAATCAAAAAATGCATTCTTAAGTGATCCCGGATGTGGAACGAAAGTGAGAATACGTTGCTAAAGAGGCTGCTTTAATTAAATGAAATGGGAATATAAAATATGCATATTCATAATGAAATAATCATTTGTTGTGTGTATAAGCTTTGCTTAACATCCTTCCTCAGATCTGTTAATAAGCAAAATTAATATGTTGGAACCGGCTTTTTATGTTGGGATCGGATGAGAAATTGTTTCCAGCCATTCATCACGAATCCCTTAAAGATATTGCAATCTATCTTAATAATTAAACTTGTCTGTCATGGTAGCTGTTATCACAGATTCTTATTCAACATTTTACAAGACCAGGTATTTAATGCTTTCATATAGTTTTGCAATTTCACTAATTTTTGCATTCCGCTTATAGAGAATAAAGTAGTAGATGAGATTGAAGAATATGGGAATGATTTAGAAATAAAACATTTTCTAGGAATAAATTAAGAGAAGGCTGAAATAGCGATGAGAGCGAAAAATCGAATTACGAATTATGACTTACGCACTTACGCTCGTTTCCTATATGAAACTGTACTCCAAAATTTCCCATAAACAATTATATGCTCCTCAAAAAGAATGCTTGGGAAGAATGTCAACTATTTCGTGGTGATTTTTAAAATGCCTGCTCCAGCGTTTTAGACGCTTTTTCCCATCATATTATTTACTGCACTTGTTCTCCGTATCTCTCCTTGCAACGCTCATTGTTCACTTTGCGTGCTATTTCCAGACATGAATTGAAATGAGGAGGAATAAATACAGACAGCTTTCAATTTGTCCCATTCCTATGAGGACATTTGGTACTCTCTCTATATTTGTTTGCAAAGTAATAAACACTGCTTTTTTCCCAATTGTTTGTTTTCTCAACTCCGCGCAAATCTTTTTCAATGATCAAATGAGATTCAGATACTTAAAAAAAAAAAAATTTATTTCTTTGAATCAGCTTCAATACATCATAAGCATTGCATATCATCATATATGCGTCGTAAGCGTTGGATATCATATATGCGCTATTTAAGAATATTAACTGGCCAGTAATTTTAAATGCTTTGGAAGGAAAAAAATCATCAATTTAGTGAAACAAATAAGAATTGACGCATTGGCAGACAGTTACTAGAAAATTATTGAAGAATAGCCTTTGTTTATTTCACGTATTCTCTCACGTAGTAGACAATCATTTTGTGTTTTTTGAATATCTCCACCTCTTCATTCCTTTTCCACTTTTCCCTTCCTTCCCTTCCCAATAACGCTTTATGTCGATTTCGTCGTAAGCCAAGTCGTGTGAATGCTGCTAATTCGGACGTCTTTGTTCACTACTTACTTGGAAGCGAGTGGACTTCGTTTTTGCTCTGTATGCGCGATATTATATGGCCAGTAGAGTGATTGTCCAATTGGCTAATTATTAATCTCCATATTAATCTATTTGTATTGTCGTGAAGCTTAAGCACATTGTGAATTACGGACCTTAGACGTTGATTGTTACGTGCAACTTTTTTTCAGTTTGAGGACGCAAAAGACTTCCTCCCCGACTTAATCTTTTGTTTGAATTTAAAATTCATAGAGGAAATTTGTACGAGTTTGCTTGGGTTCCTATACTCAACTTATAGTAAGTAAGTCTGTGCTTTTTCGTAGTTGCAGCATTTTATGGCTTGCACTGAAGCATTTGATAAGCAGCATAAGGAATATGTTGATTTACAATATACACGATGACGGCTGCTATATTCATTCTCGTCTTTCGCAAGGTTAAGGTATTCTTCATTTGTCATTCTTCTCTGTATCCATTTTTTGCCTCATGCCTTTATTTTCCATAAGTAGATCATACGGATATTTAAGTCGTTTCTTTTGCAGAGTAGGAATTTGAATTTTATTTTGATGTTTGACAAAAGAATAAATTGAAGCTTTCTAGCATCTCTTCTTGCAGCGCCGTTAAATTTTTGGAGGAGTCTTTCAAAGTGACATATACTTGATTTTTCAGTAACTGCGATGAAATGCTGGTTGCCTTGCTCACCATCATAGTATTACAGCAGTGGTTGCATTTAGCTTATAGTACCGGCCAAAATTTTTTCAAGGAGGAGCCCAGAAATCAGGTATTTATTTTATGCAAATTTTAAAACATTTTTTAAATTTAACATTTCTTTATTTTTAGAAGAGAAAAATAAAATAACCTAATGATGCTTTAGAGTGTATTAATTGGCGAAGATGTGCTCCTAAAATGTTCTGCTTATCAATCAACATTGGTTAGCCAGTGGCGAAATAATGATGGCAGTCTTCTGGGGTAATTTTTCCATTCATTAGCTTTTTAAATTGTTACTTTGTTATTCATCAAAAAGAACCCATCAAAGTTAGTATACTCAATTTCAATTTGATTTTAATATGTCCGATGTAGTTAAAAAGTTATTTTCATGTCCTAAAGAATAAAAAGTCGAAAGTGAAACTCGTAGAAGTCATTTATTAGGTGGAAAAAAGATGTCTTAATAGATTAGCAGTAATTGCTTTGCAGTTTTCACGATGCAGGGAAATTAGCAGGACATGAAGGTCGATACAGTTATGTGACCCATAGTCCAGATGAAAAACATTTGAAAATTGAAAATGTGACATTGAGAGACGATGGCTTGTTTGAATGTCAAATGATACATCCCAGCCTGGGTGCTTATCGAACATCTGCCTCCGTCAATGTCTTAGGTAAAGTAATTACATAATTCATTTTAACAATTTTTCAAACGCTTGGCGGTTGTGACCAACCAAGTCATTCTTATGGCAGCTATGTTAAATGTTGTTTGGGGAGGAAGAGGGAAAATGGGGGAAGGGAGATTCTTCTTATTAATCAACTTGTCAGTGTGATCCTACAATTCAAGACGTATTTGATCATTTGAAGAACGGTTGTGAAAGAGTTATGAGAGTAAATTCAAACATGATTCTATTCCCAGTAAATTCGATTGTCGACTTTTGATCCGTTTGTGAATTCCTTATGCTTGAATACTAATGAGGTATGATTGATGAGAATAAGCCAGTAAAGCTTATTCGTGAAATATGATGAGATGAAGAAACACACTTGTAAACCTGTCTTTTTTTGGCTCATCCGCACTTTAATGTCCTTACTAACACTTTCGATTTGCAGTGCCTCCGGAAAAAGTTGCTATTATGGATGTTGATCCCGGTTCCGTTATTAATGTTGTCGAAGGATATAATTATAATTTGAGTTGCTTGGCAGCTAATGGGAAGCCCCATGCAATCATAAATTGGTATATTAATGGGAAAAAGTTTGACGACAGTGTTAAACGATGGACAGAAATGAATACAAATCGTACAGTCACTGCTTTCGCAACTCTCTCCTGGAAGCCTCGGTATTTTTTTATTAGCATAACTTCTTTTAGTTTCCAAACATAAGAGAGGTTCTATACTTCAGAATTTTTTTACAGAAGAAGTGATATTGGAACGATCCTCACTTGTGAAGCTGTTCATCCGTCAACTTCTAGTCAGTTCAGAATAAATGTCACATCGAATGTTCTATGTAATCTTTAAACATTCATTGCATTATTTTTTAAGTATTATGAAATTGAATACAAAGTTGAAAACCTATTTATTTTTTTAATTTACTAGTCCTTATTTATCTTTGCAGACCCTTCAGAAGTGCCAGAGATAAATATTTTGAGTCAACCTGATCTTATAAAACCTGGCGATAATATCACTTTGAAATGTTCAGTTATCGGTGGCAATCCACCACCCAGACTTCTTTGGTTTTTTCATCGAAACCTTATTGATAGCAATTATACATATGATGAATCAACGAAAGTATGTTTTTTTTTTTTGCAATCTATTTCTATTTATCATTATCTCTTTTTTGAATATGTAGAAATTAGTGATCTTAATTCCAGCGAATATGTTGCAAATATGGCTTTGGAGTAAGAAAAGGGTGTAATACATTGCGGCCTATGGTCATCTTCTATTACACAATAACATGTTCTTAACTAGACTGTACAATCTTTTTAGAAATAATGGATAAATACGTAGACCAACACTTCAAATAAATTTAATTGCGCCTTACTTCCGCTCTCAAGTGAATAGTGCCTGTTAAATATCTAGGACAAATTTGTCATTAGATCTTGTCGTATTCTCCTGTGTAAATTTCACCTACCTGCTACTTCCTTCACCCTTGCTTCGGAAATCACAAATTTTCTGAGTGAATGATAAGATTTTATGGTGATATATTATCATGAAATGTTAAAATTGAGTTTTTCCCCTTTAAAGGGATTTTATTATCAGAAACAGAAGATTGTTTGTATATATATTGTATTTTAAGGAAACTGTCAATATTTATTCTGTGGTAGTTGATGCAAATGATAATGGTGCTGTGTATGAATGTCAGTCAACAAATTTGGCCAATGATGAACCTCTTTCTGAAGGCATTCGTCTTTCTGTTTCATGTAAATTTTTAAAATTCTAATAATTGGGATTTATATTTTTAAATTTCCTGCAAATTTTTAAATTCTAGATGCTCCTCTCAGCGTTGAAATATCCGGCGAAACAACTACACGAACTGGGCGCATAATTGCAGTGCAATGTAGAACGGGGTATCTTTTCTAAATTCATTTTTTATTGAATTTCTTGAATGCGATTAGAAAAAAGAAAATTGTAGATTTTAATAAACATGCGAATTTGCAATCATGTTACGAGTATAAATTTTAGGTTAGCTAACCCAGCAGCCAAAATTTCTTGGCTACTGAACGGACAAGCAGTACAGTCAATGAGTCATTCATATTTGGAGCAGACTACCGGTATTATTACAGTTTCAAATCTAACCGTAAGTCCAACTGATGTAAATGTCATTAAACATCAAATTAATGTTCAATGTATTGCCATGAATGATGAAGGAACAACAAGCAAACAACTCGTTATTCGCATTCTGTGTATGTTTTACTTTTCATTAGAATATATTAATTAAGTTAATTAATGACTTCTCACGATTTAAAAACTTTCAGTTCTCATGTGTACTTTCAGTAATTGTTATCTAATTTATAGCGCCGCCCACGGAACCTGTTATTTATGGGTTTGAAGGGATGACGCTTCTGGAAGGTGAGACTTTGAATCTTACATGCGAATCTCAGGGAGGTAATCCACTCGCGACGCTGACATGGTTCAGGGGTATCGAAAAGGTTTGAAATTCTTTTTCAGAGTGTAATTCAAATTAGTAGGTCTCTGGTTAAAGACTTAAGTGAAGATAGAGTTTCTAAATTACACTATAAATAAGTGTCAAAGAATCATTTCAGTTAAATGATCTTTTGAATATTGAATTGCGTGATTCTTGCATTCCTTTTGAAGAATCTGTTCTTTTCAAGAATTTTTGTCATTATAGCGAGGTTCCAAACACAAGCATAAAATTCGCTGGAAAGAGGTTAAGCTATTGATAGTTAAACATTTGTTTTGTAACCATTGTGTTGCGTTAGTGTTCTTCACGCATTAATATTGTTGTGCACGCATGCTTATTGAAGAGTAAATATGTTGCCAATTAGCGAAAGTAAAGGTCGTAATTTCTGAATATTCAGCTGTTTTTTTTTAGAACGTCATTTGTCCAGTATAGTTACCTGAATTTTGCTCATCTTTATGCAAGGAAAAAATGCAAATAGTAGCGCATGAATTCATTCAAAACATTTTCCACTTTTTATCTTATCCTTATCTTTATGTGTGTGTATTATCAACTTATCAGTATGCAACATTTTTAGCTCAGAGGAACAAGGAGTGCTGCATCGGATGACATTTCACAAAGTGCCATATCAGTTCTCCTTGATCGTACAATGAATAATCAGCAATTAAAATGCGAAGCCAGTAATGGAGCACTGGATGAACCGCTTGTTATCGCAAAAACCTTGACCGTTTTATGTTAGCGATGAGATTATTTCTTCGACTTTTTAAGCCAATATATGGGGAAAGATAAATAATTTTGTGTATTAAGAAAAATGTTTTCAGTTCCACCACGACGAGTTACTGTGCGTCAAGATGATCGAAGCAGGCGACTGATTGTAGCGGGAGAAATCACGAAACTTTTTTGTTTGGTCCATTCTTCAAATCCTGTTGCGGAATTAATGTGGACTTTCCCAATTGTTGCCATTCCCGGATTTTTGTTTGAGGAAAAGCGCAATAATCGATCGTAAGTTGACCTAGAAATACAATTATTTGTGCTTTCGTAGTTTTGAACTGCTGCTTTGTTCAATGCTTGAGCAACGCTGTATTCCTACCATTCAAAAGTCATTTTGAACGTTTCATCATTTTAAAAAGATTTTAAGCAATCAAGAATATGGTGGATATGAAGTTGAAAGTGTTGTTGAGTTCGTTCCAACAGAAGAGATGGATGGCGGTGAAGTTCGGTGTACTGCATCGCATCCACAATGGATTGAACAGAAAGTTGCGGTATATCCATTGAATGTTCTTTGTGAGTTGTATTTTTTAGTTCTTGCAAAAAAGAATATCTCCTGCGGTTTTCTTTGCTGTCTAAAATTTAAGAGATACATAATTTCCGTAAATTAATGTTATTTTTAGTTGCTCCACGAATGATAGTAGATGGACCTTTATCAATTGTCATCGGTGAGGGTGATGATTTCAAAGAAAATTTGACATTACGTGCTAATCCACCAGTGAGTACTTGGAGATGGCGAAAAGATGGTTCGCATTTTGAACATGTGGTCGGGGCTATCACAGCCAGAGGTATATTTTTTAAATCATGTGAATTTCTTTTATTTTTCGAATCTCTTAATCAAATTTTAGGAAACCTATTACAGGGTCTATCTTATCTGGACGTTCAGTCACCAGATTTGACAGTGGTCTTTTTACGCTTGTAGCAGGAAACAGTGTTGGCACGGTCAATGTTACAGTCCATGTGACTGTGGAATGTAAGGATTATCAAATCCTGAATCTCTCCTGAGTTCAGTAGCAATACATCTGAAAATTGAGGGGTCTTAGTTTACTTCTCGGAAAATTTCGAAAAATGAAAACTAGCTTTGTTAAAGGAACTTGGAAGGAATATTTATTCTGGAAGTAAATCTTTCTAAATGTTTGTGGTCTCTTTTAGATATTTTTTTTGATGTTTAGATGCAGCGTACGTGACGCATATAACGTCACCAGTAGTGGCGTCCGTTGGTGAGGAAGTAGTTATGGAATGTGAAGTAGATGGCGTTCCTAGGCATGATGGTATGGTAAGCTGGTTACGTGGGGAACAAATTATTGGAGGAGTATCATTTGTTGGACAAACCAGAGCTGTTATGCGACTTAATGCTTCATTTGAAACAAGTGGTGCTTATACCTGTGTTGCCGATAACGGAAAAGGGATGGTTAGTCTTTTACGTCTTTTAAATGAATTCGATTTTGCCATTTCTTCAATTAGTAATTGTTTGTAATTGATTTTTGAATATTCTCATATGGTTAAGGTTATGCAGTCATTGTAATAGAGTTTAATGATAGATTTTAGAATTTTTATTTTATATAAGGCAAATCGCACTATGGCTTATCTATTGGTGAACCGTGCACCAGCAATCATTAGGCAACCATCGCTTTTGCGAGCAGCTGGACCTTTGGGCGGACGAGTGCAACTACGCTGTAGAGCACATGCAGTTCCAGATGCTCATTTCCAGTGGATCGTTCAGGGCCAGTCGAGTCCAGTCCGGCGTAATAGTACTAAATATTCCTTCAAAACCCTTCAGTTAAATTATTCCACATTTGAGGTTGGTATCAGTTTTGTGTAATTTAAAATGATCTAATTTTTAAAAAATTTATCAAATTTAAATCATAATAATTGGAAATTCAGGTAATAGTTATTAAAAGCTGTAAGAAACGCCTAAATTACAGGGCGTGCTTTATATTTCTTCCCTGGATCGTTATGATTATCAGCATCCAGTAAAATGTTTCGCGATAAATAGATATGGAGAAGATACCGTTGAGATCCGGGTTAGTCCACCAGCAGCTCCAGACACTCCGGTCTCATTACGAGTTTCAAATATTACAAAAAATTCTTTATCGTTTAACTGGATTCCTGGTTTTGATGGAGGCTCGGAACAAATATTTGAAGTGCGTTATCAGGCATCCACGGAAAACGTTTATCATATCGTTAATTCGTCATTTCCGGTTAGTTTTTCGGAATTTTTAAATTTTCACGCTATTATTATTGAATGAAATAAGACAAATGATAAACTCCATTTTATACGCCAAAAAGTTTTTCGGCTATCGTTGGCTTTTTATAGAGAATCCATATAAAATAAGTTTAAAATACGAAATATATTTCTTTTATTTTTCGTAGTCTTCTATGCATATTATTTATATTTTATGAAAAATTTTAGGAGATAGAAATTCGGGGACTGGAACCAGCTTGTCTGTATGAAATCTCAATCCGGGCACGGAATAAACGTGGCATGGTATCAGAATTTTCTCGGCCGCCTATTATTGTGTACACAAAAAATGAATACGGAATGGATGTTGTTAATATGGCGAAGGTTGGCTGTTATTCTACGCTTTTCCAAGTCTTTAATAATTTAACTTGTGTCAACTGCTTTGAGAAATTGGGTTGTAGGACGTGCACGCACCTCTAAAAATGGCTTCATTTTATTTTAGAAAGATTCTTTCCCTGTATCAGTAATCGTGGTATTTGGTGTATGCTGCGTAATTCTGCTAGTAATAAATTGCTTTCTACTCTGTTACATGCATCGACGAAAACGGAGGAGGAAAATGCAAGGTGAGCTTGGTAACTTTTGATTCTTTCAGTTCTTGGAAACCTAGTGAATAGATTTCAATTAATTTTTGGTGATATGGCAAAGTTAACCTTATGTTACTTTTTTAATTTTTAATTTTTCAGAAAAAACGGAGATGATACGAAATGCTAATAATAGTGGCTCAGATGTTAGGCTGGTACAGATGTATGGGGCATTAACAAATGTTGAAAATCCATGTAGGCCGGATTCGACCAATACAAACAGAAGTGAATTGGGTCACAAACCAGATTCCGACGATGGCCAGAGTTTGCGAACAATGATTGTATGTGTTAATTTATTTTACAAATATTCTGTGCTTCATGCTTCACTCCTAATCACATTTTGCTATTCTCTATGTTGATCGAAATTTGTATTTTGAGGAGGTTAGTCCAAACGGATATGTGCAGCAAATGGATCCAGTTAATTACTATGAGCGGGAATGTTTGGTTGAATATGAATTCGATCGTAAGTCATAGTTTTCTCTAATTTATTTCCATTTTTGTTATTTTATTGCTGAAAAATGCCACCTGTTAATTTTTAGCAAATCTGTATGGTGATGTTATCAAATCGAATACGTTACGAGGGTCACCGCATAATTGCGCCAATTTTCGCTATCGTGTATTTCTTTTTTCAGTTTTTCTATTTATGTGAAATAAAACAAAAAGAAATATCTGAACTTCGTGTAATTCATCCAGTAATTGATGAATACAAACGGAATTCTCTGCAAGTTTAGTAGTTTAGGGATTAATTTTCACTATGCTACAAATTATCCGGTGAAATTATTAGCTACTGCAGAATTTCTTTATTTAGAAGGTGTCAGAAAATGGTGATACATCAGTCAGTTTTACGGATGGAGGCTCATTGTCGCTGGTGACAGATGTAAATAATATTGATTCTCCAGGTCGAATACGTAAGCCACGTATCATTGATGCCAATTCTTCAACCAATTTGCTGACAAATAATAACACCACTCCGCAAATGTTGAGCACATTTTTGCATCGCGGTGGAATACATACCACTCCATTTAATTTTACACATGTTGACGGTGACCTTGTATAATCATTATTTCGTGAGGTACACACAGTAATAATGCTTTTTGACATCATAAAACTATTGCAAGTTTAGATAGGAATAACGAGTAGGAAATTGTTACCGTGGAAGAATATATTTATGACTTCTTGGAATAGCAGGCAGATGCATTTTTTGACTCTTTAATTATTAAATATGTCACAGTCAGGATGATTTCATTGACATGCATTTATGTTGTTCTCAAAAATGTTAGTTACGGGTTTTCCTTCCTTTTTTATTCACAATTATGTTTCGCAATGGCAACTTTCTTGAATATTTTTCTCTTCAAACAGACTTCTAAGTGCAAATTTATATATCTGAAATGTACTAGGAACATTTTTTGAAATTATTGCAACTGATTTTACTATGATTCCAATCAGTCATACCATGTTGTATATGTTGCCTTTTTTGTTCGTTGGAGTTAGACTGTTATTTTTTTCCTCAAACAACTGCCTCATCGTGCGTTCGCAGACATTACTAACCCCACTTCATTCCTATTTTTTTCTTTTAAATTCCAAATTTTTTTTGATGTTTATATACTTTGTATTTGATCAACCAATCATTTTAGGCAAACTTATTTCTTTTCGTCATCTGCGCAGCTTTGTTGGTTTTCTTATTAACATATGTGCTTATAAATTCTGTTTTGAGTTTAATTTTTAATCACTATGGTTTGCTCAAGCTATTGCCATTTTACAGTTCGTAGTTATTCACAAAATAAGTTAAGCTTATTTAATAGTACGTGGAAATTATAAGAAGTCATGCCGCTATTTTATGTTGCTCTAATGTAAACTTTTAATAAAAAATGCCACATTTTATCCTTTGATAACATTCCGCTTTCATCGGTAGCCCGATCATCAGGTAGGTTGAAAATAAATGGTTGGGATCGTTAATTTCCTTTGGCTAATTGATAGCTGTCATTTTCAAGTGTGTAGTTGCGACACTAAACTCACTGTACTAAACATTCCTAAATTAGTTTTGGGAAGTAACATTCTACTACGATTATCGAGATGACTCTAAGCTTGTCCTTATAGTTGTTTACTGGAGTTGGGAGTTGGTGACGTACTCCAGGAGATTTTCTGAATAGTTTGATTTTTACGAGCAAAGTGGAGCCAAATTTTGCTAGAAATTGATGTTTGCAAAGAAATATGTGTGTTATATTAGCGTTATAGTTTTTTAGATTTCAGATGATTAAAATACTATTTGATTTCCAGACTAGAAATCATAAGGAGAGGAAGGGAGGGGAGAGGTTGAAAATGGATTATAAAGCTTTTAGGAGAAGGTTAGGAAATAGTTATTAGCTCTCTTTAAGAATGTTTAAACTATATTGTTAACCGAGTACATAGTTTTTCATTTCTTAGTCAAACATTTCTGGAGATCACCATGGATACCTGTGTGTAGGAGTTTATATAGCTGGTGCGAAGGGCGTAAGATGGGGTTGAGTGGCCGTCGTAGAACAGGATGGCCTCACCGCTATGCTCACGTTCCTGTGCACAAGCTTGATCAGGCACCAAATGCTTTCCTGCTACTTACTGCCATATGTATTCAATGTCCACATTCTCCTGCTTGGCCATTACCAACTTGTTACTGCCAAACAGCACTTTGAGCGACATGCATTACCTACAGATCACGTTGTGGTATTTCATTTTTATTCTTTCATTAACTGTCATAATAAAACTTTTTCCTTTGCACTGAGTTATATTAACTTTTGAATTTGCAACTAAAGCAAAGCAACAATAAACTTCACTTCATATTTAATTAAAATTCATATGTGCCTCACAGAGTATTCCGAGCTTGCCTAGTCTTACAGTGCACTCTTAAAATCTTTGCCATCTTTCAGGGAGGAATGATTCTTTGTCCTTTTTCTTCTATAAACTTCAAAATCTTAAAATTAGGAAGAAATAGTGAATTCAATTACGTGTGATTTGTTTCCTGAAATAAAGGATTGGATCTCTTAGAATGATGAATTTTCGATTTGAATGATATGAAGACCGTGCCACACAGGTGCGTTCATCCAATTCCAATGTTTCTATCGCCGATTGGGTGGTTGTCGTCTCAGACGAATCAAAAGTTGAATTTCAAGAAAATTTTCTGCATGGAGAAGTTTGGTCCGGCAATTCAAAACTAAAGTTTCAACCGCACGGAGAAATAGAAAAATTTTCTGCTTATAGCAATGTGCTTTCCATTTTCGAGCTTTCACAAGTAAATCTCCAGACGAAGTGCGACCAAATTCAGATAAGTTTATTGTTTTCATTGAGAAAAAACTGTTTTTCGATTGCGAACTTTTTCAGGAAAACTGTTTAACTCGAAAAAAGATTGATCCTCGAATGAGACCTTCGAAATGACTGCAAGTTTTGTTTTTCCAGGATTAAATGAGAATTTTGTTTTTTAAAGGATCGATTGCGGTTATCTCCCATTAGTGGTGAAGGGGAGGAGGAAAAAGAATGGTTGGAATCCTTTCTAATTCCCACTTTTCTAAATTATCCTTATTGTTTATTGAAATGAAAGCCTTTTTAGGAGGAATCAAGGCACTCAGTGATGATTTAAGCACGTTAATTAGTTTATAAAATTTGGTAGGCATGATATCAAGAGAATGTCCTCTGCTGGCTTTTTTTCAACCCTCACGAAATATTTTCATTTTGATTAAATTGTGGTTCGTCAATTAATTAATCATTAGATTTGACTTTCAGATGTTTCTGAAGGCAAATCGAAGCACTGATGGTCATTCCTTTATGGAATATAGAGCTGATAAAAATGTTAGCTTAATTTTCTCCAGTGGTATTACCGAAGTCAATGCATTTAATGGTCTATGGGCTCAGGTTACGACTACTACTTGGCAGTTATCTGTGCCCGGTGAAATCATCATCAGTTCCAATACTGCAAATGGTCTCAATCGGCAGCTTCATATTGTTTCAGTCAGCACTGACAACAATATTAACATAACCATTTTTGACGCACAGGTTGACATCTTTAAGATTTTCATATTCTGTAAAAGTATATTAACTTAGTTTTCGTTTCAAAAATATCCGTGGAATTTTTTATAACATTTTCATAATTCTTTGATTCTGATTTTTACGAGAAACTTCTGCAATTTTACGATCTTTATTTTACCAACAGTTTTAGCAAATCTTAAACTAACAACATTATTCAGGTGCAAATGCGATATGGAAATGTTACTGTACAGATAACATCAGATTATCGCATTTTGAGGATAAGATCAGAATTATACATGGTTAATTTAAAAACTATTGTATCACCTTTTAAAATATTGATTTACGACCACGAGATGATTGTGCGATGCGAAAATGAACGATCAGTTGTTCAGTTACTCCCCAACTCGTCGAATATCATCATTGACACGAATCAGTATTCCAGGTATTTGAGTTTTCAGCAAATAATTCAGAATATTCATCACAAAATAAAAATTTTGCATTTCATAGTTTTTAAGAAAGATGGCTGTTCGCAATGGTTTTTTCACTTTCTGTGCTTCTTGTTCCTGATATAAGATTATCACTTTTCAGAGTGGTCATTGATCGTGGAAGAGAAGCGGCCATCCTAGGAGGTCGAGAAGTACGTCCGGCTGGCAATATAAATCTTTTATCAATGCAGTTGAAAATTTTATTGAAGTCTGGCAATATTAGTTCCATTCATGCATCTGCAAATCGTTCACAAATTACAATGCAGACTACTTCAACAAATGTTAGCATTTTTTTTCTGCCGATTTAAATTCTTTTTTCTTTTTTGAAAGATTGTTTTTTATTTAGACAACAAATTGGTTGAAAAATCGGAGTAAAAAAATTGAAATTATATTGATGGATTTCTTGAAACCCATTTGTAGCGTAAATATGAATCCATTATCTGCAATAATTCCGCAATTGTTATTTTCACGGTTTACAGATGGTTTCAACGGCTGCACACCACGCCGTGGATATTATTGGTGGAAGAATAAATTTGCATGTTTTTACGGGCAACGTTTCAATGGATATCGTTGCAAACACTCATTCAGAATCATTGCCAACAATGTTAACTCCATTTCTAACTCCTCAGGATAATTTTCAAGATATCACAGTGGATAATTTCAATCATAATTTCCCCACAAATGAACGAAACATTAGCAGTAATAACCCATTATCAGCCACACAGATACCACTTACAATGGCTAGCTCTTCAGTTTTAAATGAAAGTAGTGATTTCCAAAATGAAGTTACTTCGACTGAAGATCATATTTACGGAAATATTCTTGAACCAGTTTTTGCAATTCCTCCAACACTGCCAACCATAAAACCTGCTAGCACAATTTCACTTATATTTTCTCAACAATCATCAATGACCACTTTGACCAGCAAGGCAGCTTCAAAGCCCTTAAGTTCTGCTGAAAACACATCTCTATTTGAAAACACTTTACTCACAAATTTTATTACTGAAGCAACAAAAATGGAACGAACTGGTACTTCGATAGATACGCGCAGTTGGCCAAAAGTTGAAGAAACAACAGCAGCATCAATTATTTTACTAAATACGTCAACAGTGACTTCTTACGACACTTCATCAACGTCAAGGACCACATATTCCAGTTCTTCATTCTTGCTAACAGCTGTAACTTCTAGTTCACCAACGAATATACTTCCAACCATTCCAGTTATTCCTGTTAAAACATTAACTAGTAGCCGAACATCTGAAATCATTATTAGCAGTCTTCCGGTCACTTCTCGCATCTCCCAGTCATTTACTAGCACATCGACAACAGGTGGCTCTGGTGATGTTACTGAGGTTATGGTTTCCGAAAAAAAATATCCTGACGAAAAGAATCGCGAATATGTTCAAACTGACTTTATCGAATTTAGTTGGGGTAGTATTGCAGAAAGTGGTATACTTATTACAACGACTGCCACCGCAATTGCCACCACGGCACGTACAGGTAGATATTATCGCATCCTGTATTAGACTAATTCTTAAAGAAAATCGAGATAGCAACTTCAACGATTACTAAAATTGCCAATTCATTCAATGCAATATCTCTTCCAATCTTAGTACTATCGACTGTTATCCGAACATAGCCGTAATGATTTATAATATAGGAATAACAGTGTTGCTCGTCGTATCGTTTGCAATCGATTTTTTGGATAATTCGATCTTTAACGATCAGAATTTGGCAATATATAATTTTTGATAAATTCTCAAATTGGAATAAATCAACTAAGAAATGTTAAAAGTAGCAAAAAGTGCTTTATTTTAATTTTAGGTGCAGGAGTAAGTGTTACACCAGAAAAAGTGCGAAGAATTGAGTGTATCGAGATAGAACCATCAAAAAAGCAAAATACCTGTAGGTCGAAGTATTGCTATTTTCCTCGATTTTGTTTGTAATTCATTATTTTTTCTCTGAAAATTAAATGCTTCATGGGATCAGTTTCAGTCTTATCTACTATCTACTTTATGTTTCTAAAATTCGATTGATTTTTTTAAATCGGTTTTTACCATGAAAAATTCAACCCTGCATTACTTTTAATTTTAAATATGTGTTGATTAAGTTTAATTTTGAAGTCCGTTTGTTCTGACATTCCAACTCCTGAACTCCCATCTATCACATTTCTTTTTGAATCCTATATTTTTTGTTTGCTAGGAGAGACTCTAATGACCTCTTCCATTTGTAGCATTGCTCACCAAAGGTTCAACAGTTATGGGTACATCAGAGGCGACAGTAGAACGGATCGTCGTGAAAACAAATCGTTCAATCGGTCATTATTTCGTAGTTTTCATTAGATACTTAAGTGATTCCTTATTTATACTTTTTCTATTGTTACTTTTTTATCTCTTTAGAAATTTCAGGCTCGGCATGGACTCCATTTGCTTCTCTACCATTTGAATTTCCACCAACTGCTCATTATCCGTCCACTGCTTCAATTCGAAAGGGTTGTTTATTTCATGATTGCTGCTTTTCTCGAATAATAATGGAGGGTTTTAATTTATTGTAAATGTAAAGATGATCAGCCTTTCCCTTCACTTCAAGATTTTACATTTTTCATTTCTTTGCATTTCAGGCAATTTTATCCTGAAAGATAACGAAGCAAAGAGTGAAATAACTTTTAACACAAATGAAATTTCAAAGAATAAAAAATGGAATGAAAGTACTTTGGATGTTCCTTCCGTCCCGATGATTACCGATGTGAAAGAAATTTTCGGTAAAATTGTGCAACATGGCTCTCAAAGAAACGAAAATCCGAGGACTGAATTTGAGCAGCAGCAAATTTTCTTTCCCAGCAGTAAATTCAAACGTGCATTGTCCAGCTTTGAAAATGAAGAAATCTATGAACTTCAACTGAAAATCCCGCTTGAAATCAATTTAACAGCAGTAGAATTGCATCGTGAACTATTGCTGGCACTGAAAAAATTTGTGATTTTCACTAGTTTGCATGAAAGACGCTTACCGATCAATGAAGATGCAATACGGATTAAGGTCACTTTTAACATTCGTTTTCATTTCTAAAGATTTATTCAGTATTTCATCTTAATGATTGTTTCCTTTAATTATTATAGGTATAAAACCTTTGAGTCTAAACATGCACCAGAAAAATGTAAAATAAACTGACCCAACATTTCAAAGCTTGCCATCATTTATCATTTCAACTCAATATTGAGAGAATATTTAATTGTCAAACTTCAAGGCTTATTCATTGGTAGCGATTGCTTCTATTTTTGTTAGATTTTTCTATCCGTAACTCATTGTTCAAATTTGTAGATAACAAATACGGAACGAAATGGTGATTGCCTGAAAGTGCTCTATTCAGTATTCATTAACGCAAAGGTACCTTTCTACATAAGTGGTTGTAGTGCGGGGGTAGGATTCTCGATTCCTTACTTCACTTCTGTCCATGATATCAACTGTGTTTCATGAAAAATAATTGCAGTGGGAAGTACTAAATCAACTCAAGGTGAATTTCATATACACTTTATTGTATGCTGTAAACCAATAAAGCGTTTTTTTCTTTCACGCAAAGCGATAAATGGCGTGAAGAAGTCACCACTAACACCTTTGAAGTCAATAAATGACGATAAGTTTCCTTTCACTTGCGAAATCTGAGCAGCAATTGAAAGATGTCTAATTGCAAAATAAGTGAGGGATGCTAACTATAAAAATTAAATTTTACAGTAAAGAGATTCGATGCATTAATCGTAATTTATTGAAGATAAATGCAGTATCCAATTGCGCTCAAAATCATGAATTCAGCGGTGCTAACTTATTATTTGTAGCAGTCGGCATTCTGATTCTTATGCCATTTTTTAATGGTGTTCTATTGGTTTGCCACAAATAATGTTACAATTTTGCGGTAAGAATCGTTTTTTTTTTTTGTAAGCGCTACTTTCAAATCAATGAATATCATAATCATATAGCGAATCATCATTTTATGTCATATGATATTGCCTTTGTCTAACTTGACTATCAGTCAAGCGTTACTGGATCTGCAATACTTGCAACTTCATTTATTATCATTAATTATTTTCTCTTTTCTTTTTTCTGAATCTTTCTAAAATGTCCAATTTAGTAATAAATCCATGGGTAACAATCACAATACGCGCTAAATGAGAATTGAAAACAAGCCTAGAAATTTTTAAAGAAATTCTTTGTAATAATAGAAATTTTGGTTTTTAAAACTGTTATGCCCTCAAATTTTCATTCGTAAGCAATATCATTACAGGATTTTTCGATAAAGAATTCATGAGGTGGTTCTTGAAACTGTAATGCCACTGGGATATGAAGCACTGACCTTCTGTTTGCTACAATGTTGTGTTCAGCAAGTTTCTTCATTCCAAGAATGCATTTCAAAAATATATTATCAAGAAAATTCTACATCAACAACTGTTAAACTATGTTTGCTCAGGCTTTTGTGATCCGCAAATCGCTTTTGTGATCCTTTTGTGACACTGCCTCAAACTTGCTTCGAACTGATAATTTTTTTCCTTTCTAAACATTTACTTGTGGTAATTGTTTATGGGAAACAATTACTACAAGTAAACGGTAATTGTTTAAAACTGTTTTCAAGCAGAAAGCATCTTAATTTTCCACATAATATTCACATTTGCTAAAAAAATTTGCTTTTGAATTTAAGTTTTCATCAATCTTTGAAATTCGGAAATTAAATTTTCTGCACTTGAACTGATTATTATTTTACATGATTCAACTAAATTTCAGTATACAATGTTCCATCATCCAGTTATTTGTTCACTAAATGTAAAGCGGTAATTTGTATCAGAAACAAGTCTTTGAATTTGTATCTTTACGATACTGTTGCAAAGGTGTCAATCACAAACTCATACATCCAGAGTGCCTGAAAAGGTGAACAATTTTCAAAGCTAACGAAAGGATTTCCATGGAAAGTATCACAATGCAGAATTTTGTAGCAGATCTTAAAGATCCATTTTCTAACTTCAGTTTATTAAATCCGTTGGTGAAGAGGGCGCGCCATTTGTTAACTGAATACTTTCATAAAATTTGCTTGTCACTATCGTTATCCTTATAATGCGGGAATATTAGTATTTTATTGGACCCAAACAATATTTTAAACAGGTTACTGTTTTCACTGTGCAATAAGGATAGCGATATTGAAGGAATTTATGGAAGTGATTGTCTGTTTTATTCTAATTCCGCCTTACTTTGTACTTTATTGTGAAAAAAACCTTTGCTACTAGTGATTTGAGCGCACCCTAGCTGTATATCCTCATTCCCGGTTTCAAGTATACAATTCCTCCAGATATGAGCTTTTCCTGCAACGAAAATTGCTTCCGGGCTTGCTTCGGAAAATAAATTATTTCGTATTTCATCTGCGTTGAAGTTCGCGTAATTTTGAATTAATTAAATTAAAAGGATTCAAATAGTTTAAATAAAATCATGCCACTATCTTTGAAAGTGAATGCCATTTTCATACAAGCGGCATTATCGCAAGCTTGTCTTTTCACATGAACTCCTGATCATCTGACTGAAAATGGTAAATTGAATTTCAGAATCTATTAAAATTATCAAGGAATCAAAGATTTACTAATTAGTCTCTTTCAATGAGCTCCGTCATTTTAGATCAAATATTTCTCTGATTTTCATATTATACACTTTAATAAATCTGTTAAAATCTGGATACGGATGGTTTTCAATGACGAGAAATGCACAAGTGAAAGAAAAGCTTCCCTAATTGTTAGACTTCTTCAAATTTCGATCCAGATGTGAGCTATTGTGTTACATTGATAAAACATACAAAAAAACGGAAATTAGTTAGTTTATAATCTCTCAGAGCAGTCCTTAATATAGCAAAAGTCACCGGTTTGAACTTTTTTTCCAGAATCCATAATATTTGAAAGTGTTTAAAACTTTTGAAGTAATTGCTAAAAATTTTATATTAGGCAAAAAAATATTGGTTTTTTTCAAGATGCATCGCTATCTGTCACGTTATCAGTATAGATTCTAATCAGCATCGCTAAAAATTGAGCTAACAGTACTGATATACTTTTCAATAGCTATTCATGATTATATAAACTTTCGACATAAACAACTAGTTTACGCTCACTGATTTTAATCCGATTTTTAGCTATTTTATAATAAAATAAATGATTCATCATAACCTAACGATGGTAAATAAAAGTGACCAAAATAGCTGAGTATCTTTCCATTATTCTCTTGCATGAACTTGTTAAGAAATTTACCGATGATAATTAGTGATAATCACTGAAAGGGTTATTCATTTATTTCCATTCTCACATATTTGTTCTGATCTTTGCATCTCTCCTTAAATTTTTGCGCAAATTACTGTTAACAATGCTAATATATTCACCAAATACATGAAAAATTGTTGTTTTAAGTGGCATAAAAAAGCAGCATCATTTATACCGGTAAAACTAGCTATAAAACTTTATATATTTGCTTTTTTCATTAGATGATAGCATTTTGTTATGAATGAATAATTTTAACACTTTTTATCGCAAGAGATTTCCAAATTATCAGAGTTTAGTTTTCTTACACTTTTTAAATCAACGCTTTTGATTTAAAAAAAAAGTTATAACAACAATACATTCAATTCAAGCCATCAATCAATCAATAAATTTAGAAAATATCTGTTTGGTTAATGATTGATTCGTGTTTGTTTTACCATTACTGATCATCCTAAACATTACCGGAAGATGTAATTAATGCAGCATTGTCGTATCAGTTGTAACTTCTTCATTACAGTTCACTGGAAATAATAAATCAAACTATTAGTAATTGAAATTCATTCAGTGACATTCACATTCGAAATTCCACAACAAATTATCATCTTTGAGCATATCTGCAAATCATTTTCTAATTATATTCAATTGGTTTTAATTACTTCTGAAATGTGCCATTACTTACGAAATAATATGTCTCTTCTTGTGTTGAAATATAATTATCTGAGAAAAAGAAATGATGTATTTATTTGGTTATCGACTTCGAAGAAAAAATCAAACAAGATGGAATCGAAAGATAACACGATGTTAACAGTTAGCGAATGACAACAAAATAGAAGAACGTTGCGTTTCGTAAATGCTATGATAAGAAAATTCATTAAAATTGATGTGATGGCTTAGTTTCTTTTTACTATCTATTCATATATTTAACGATATTGGTCATTAATTCAGTCGGTGTTTTCAATTTAATTGGAAGTTACTGGACGTCAAAAACAGCTGAACTCCGTTTGACTAAAAATAAGAAAAAGATGACGCATCCTCTTTTTGGAACTTGAACTTTACTTAGGTCACCAATTTATTGTTAATTCACACTGCTAAATTTTTATAAGAAGAAATAGAGCATTAGCCCTTTCAGAATCCAAAAAGCAACCATAAGAAGTGGAATTTTCAATCTAACTATCAGACTGAAAAGATGACCTACTGATTTTATTGGCAATGACAGTATATATTTGTTATAACTGATAAAAGTCTTTAAGTTGAAAGAACTTTTATGTTAGTTAGTCAGCAAAAATATAGCAGTGGAGCCATCAAAATATTAAATGCAATGATTTAATTTTCAGCACTCTTAAGAATGCTGAACTATTACATTGTGCAGCACTAATTAGATGCTCACTATAAGAGAGGCAATCCTGACAACTCCAACGGCATTGTTTTAGTTACTCGCTTATTGCACTTAGCCGAAAACTAATAAATAGTACACAATTCTCGGTGTTATTTTTGCAGAATTATTAAATCATCATTTTTAATCAAGCATCAGTCAAACTCGTCGGACATGAATAGGAACACCAATTTTTCCATAAGAAGTATCTTCGTTTCACTGTACAATACACTTTCTCATTCGTGTGAATGGGTAAAAAAGTAGTATTGGAAAACAAAACGATATGAAAACGTTGTAAGCTGTAAGGAAAACGTTGTAAGCTTTTCATAATTACTTGAAATGACTTGAAAATAATTTCTCTAAAAGAAGTTAAAAAAGTGTATCACAAACAGAATTTACTCTGCGAATGACTATACTGCTCCCATATCACTAAATGTCTGATAAAGATGAAATTTATATAAAATTAAAAGAAATGAAAGATTCACTGACAACACGGTTTTTTCTTCGATTAAGAGCAATTTTCCAAACAAGAAATGTCTGTGCGGTTGATGGAGAAAAAAATGCTTTTTAGTAAATGAAATTCTGATCGCTGATTCTCTTTTTGGTTCCAACATTTTGCGATTTTATTAAATCATTCATTCGCTGCGTTTTGAAGGACCATTAATTATATCTTCATTCTATACTTTTCTCTCTATACAAAAAATTATAATTGATCACTTTGAATAATTAAGAAAAGCGGTCAACATCTTTTAATCTTTCACTTATCATTCGACAAATATTTCATCTTAATTTCATCTTAACTCATCTTAAATGTAATTAGAACTTCAAAAGTAACATTTCAAATAATCTTAAGCTTTAAAATTAAAATGTTAATAAATATGCGAATGCAACTGCTTGCTGAGCAAAACTAAACAAGTTGTTCGAGAAAAGACTTGAAGATAAATCCTTCGAGAGTTCTCATCGATTTCTCTATCACAAACATCATTTGGAAAAATTGCTTATAATTTGTTGAGTGAAAACTGAAATAGCAACAAATTATTAACCTATAAATTATTATTTCGCCAGGAACTGCAACTTCTTATTTTTAATTCAAATTTCTTTTCAAAAAAATAAAAAGTTATGCTTCTGAACAAAATCTCACCTCATAGTCGTTCCATCGAAACCCATTGCTTCTATAAATGTAGGATTTTCCGCCAACTGCCAGATATTCTCAGATGTCGATTATTTTGGAATCACCACCATAGGCAGCACAGAAAACACCAAATGATGCACATAATATATGGAATACCGCACATTTGTTGTCCTATTATATTCACTGTTAATACCAATAAATTGAAAATTATATCATAAAGTAATGCAAATGTTCAAATATTATAATGCAATGTTTTGTACTGAGGATTACCTTTGTAAATTGAAACAAAGCGAAACAAAGTCTCGCTCGCAGAGCGCTCGAGAGTCACAACTGGAGATGACATGGCCAAGCACTTCTTACCAAACGCACATATGCATTTTTCATGATTGCTTTTTGGCTGTTCATATTTGTGCTTCTCTCCCTCACACTCACTTTTAGTATCATTCGGATCACCGTATTTGAGCACTCCTGATCTATTTGATCTATTTGAAGAAAAGCGTTCTACAGTTAAAATCAATTTATCTAATTAACTATCAACAAGAGGAATTATTTTCATAACTCAAATCAGAAATTTCATCCTTATCAGCTCAAATATTGAAACATTTTGAGGTTTTGTTACAGTGACTACATATTTTCTCTTTCTTTGATTGATATTTGACGAAAGAGTCCAACTTGCCTTATTTAGTGCTCTATTAAATACCATTAGCTGAAGAGATAAAACTAACAAAGTTTGCAAATATTAACCCACTTCGGATTAAAATTAAAAATTCGAAAAAGTTTGTAGTTAATACTTGTCAAATTTGAGCTGAATGTCAACAATTTTTTCATTACGATGATTTTTATATACTGATCATTGTAAAAACAATATCGCATGAAACGTATTTTCAGAAAAGAGGGTAATTATACTTCCCAAATTACTTGTTCGAATCTTTTCTCGAAGTTTCATAACTTCTGTATTTTATTTTGATAACACGACGCTTGCTTTTAATTGGAAAATTATTAGAGTTGCATGTATATTTTCTTGTTTTACATTTGAAAAGCATTTACAAAGAGCTACTGAAACTGAATTACCAGATTTTCTTATAATTCCATTGTCCACATTGTGTGAGATTGATGAACCTTAAGAGTGTTAGGACGAGGAGTAAAAAATCCACACTCGAGGCAAAATATTCCAGTTATTTACTACCCAGTTAGAGAGTATGATAGTCACCGTTATTTGAATTAATTGCAATTGTTAAATAACCATACCGTGCATAAGCCTGTTTCCGTTTTCGTTCCTACTCTCCTCTTTAAGGGTATATAAAGCACCATTTGTTTAAAAATTTACGAAATTTAAAAATTTATTCACTTCACTGCATGAATCCATCAAATTACTTGCAATTTTTCTGAAACTCAACTTCTGTGACCAATCGTTAAATGAGTTTGCATTTCGTAAATCACACTCCCTTAGTTTTATATAATTTCTACTTGGTTTATATGAACTGATCCACTGATAGCTTTTTTGATTGGTTAGATAATGCTGAAATGATGTTTAGCATCTTACATTACACCGTTTTTCACATATCAGTAATTCCACTACATTTGAAGTAGTAATTCAACTGATTACCAAGAACGCAATGAGCATTTGTAGCAGAAGCGGCAGATTCTGAGCTGAATTTGCATAGAACGATGCGGCATTGTCAATATCAATGCAGAAAATCTATATTAATGCAGTAACTAAACAAATTTTTAAGAAACTACGTGGCGCGACACGCCGCTTCTGCAGTACACTGACATTTTCGTACAATGCGAACAATCTGTGAAGTAGTACTACCGTCCCTGCAATGCATTTTCAACCTGCGCCTTTTACTTTTCACAACTGTACAACACTGTTTACTGTCACTACCACACCATCCATAACATCGACCATTTTTAATTTGTTCTGCCGAACGGCAGCTACCATCCAGGTAATGATGGCGAAATTTCTCTTTGGCACAAAAAATTTCACCTGAAATTTAGAAATTTTGCATGCAAGAAAGTTATTTCAAAAAAAAAAAAAATGATCCTATGAACTAAATAATTTAAATAGCTTACGTCGTTGACAATGTGTGCCACTATAACCAGGAGGGCAATGACATGTGTAACCGCTGGATAATGAGGAATTTATTGTGCATGTACCGCTGTAACACTGTACACCACTACATAAATCCACACTTTTAGCACATCCGTTTAAAATCCTCTCCTTCTGCTCCGCTTTATCAAAATCAACTATCACATCATTGACATGAAAATCGGAGATGCATCCTGAAATTCTGTTTTAAGTTTATTGTTTATAATATTAACAGCATTTTTTCAATAGATTATCATCTATTCTAATAGATTCAAAAATAACAAGGCATTTGTTAACCATTTCACTTTTGTTAAATAAATAATCTCTGTATGATTTAGCAAAATCAAAAAGTTTCTATTTTAAAAATACAGAATCAGTAATGCTGTTTCAAATCAGTTAAAACTAATTTCCCTAAATATTACTAATCTATTATTGAGAAGGAAATACAATTATTAAATCTCATGACAAAGCAAATGATGCTTGAAAAAAAGAAAACGAAGCCCCTTGGAGATGTAACAGATGAATCAATTGAAATTAACCTTTAAAGCTATGTGGTTGCTTTAAGTGAAACGCAGTGGTTGCTTCAACGGCAACAGCTGTTGGAATACCGCCAATATACAAGAAGTTCTTGCTTTCTAATACAAATATTTCTTTTGGACCACTGTTGGAGACAGTTTGTGGTTCGTGATTATCAATTTTCAACATTAGCGTTATTCCTTTGATATAAATTTCTATTCGATGTGGACGTCCATCATGCACTGAACAATGTGTAATAATGATTAAATCATACTTTAATATTTTAATTAAAATCCAAATATGATTTAGAATAATTCGATCACATTTTTGTTAGTGTTAAAAATGTCTCAATATCATCTTCAGGGATATAATTCCTGAAATAAACATTGATACGAAAAAAATACCAGTAACGTAGCTATACATATGAGAAGCAGGGAAATTGCCCACACAGAATGAAATTTTCAAACGACCGTCGTATAATTCCACCGATAAATGTGCATCATCACCATAATATACAATGACTCCGGTGCTGAAATGATCAGTGTAAACGGAAACTATCGTTGAAAAGTTTAGTGCTAATGGGTTCTTAAAATCATAAAAACAATAACCTAGCAGTGGTGATCAATGTGAACGTTAGGTTTCCATCCGGTGAAGCAATAAAGGGTTCCAATGCGATGAATGAATCATCTTCAACATATCCCGCAGCTCTCAGTTGTTCACATCGCTTACCGGTATACCCTTCAGAGCATTTACAAAATACATCGTTTCCTAATGCATGACATACACCCTGAAATGATTTAAACTTATCCTTATTCTTATCACACAACTCTTATGACTGCAAATTCAAGAGCTACATAGAAATTTAATCAGATGGGAAGAAAAAAAGCTGACATGTTCACAAGAATGAGCATGACATGGTGACGTATTTGGATAATAATCACTCGATACTGGTGACAGTTCGCAAAACTTTCCTGTATATCCGTCAATACACTCACATTTGTACGACTGTATACCATCCTGAAAATTTCGCAAACCAAAGTTTTGCTGTTCACAAGTTCATGCATACTTTACATTTTCAACTTTTTGGTACTTAAACTTGATAACTCGATATATCGGAATGCTGTTTATAAATAAAAATATGTGATACGTTAGAAATCAAAAGACTAACCACACAAGCTGCATTATTTTTGCATAAATTATTCTTACAATCATCGATATTCATCGTACAGTTGGTGCCAGTAAAACCTGGCAGGCAATTACATCTAAAAAAAAGCATATTTGCTGGAATTTTTAACTATGTGGGTTGAAAATCACGACACTCCAAATGATGATGTGAACACTTCATGTAATGTGCATATGTAATGTGATATTTTTTACGTAAATGAATCACTTGAAAACAATTTATCATATTGACAATCGTACCATTCTGTTTAATTCAATTATTGGGCAGATCATCGGGAAAACAGGAAGTTGGCTGCCAAGAGATACGAATTTGAAAATTTTATTCTGCGATATGCTGATGTTAGCTCTTTGTTGTGAGCTGAATTACGCCTTCTTACAAGATGAAGAAATAAGCTTCCAGATCATAAGACTTTAGAAATTAGCAAATTACCTATAAGAAAAAGACTGTCGTACGCACACTCCTCTGTTTGCGCAAGGATTCATTTTATTCGAACAAAATTCTACTTTCTCCTCACAAAAACGTCCTATATGCGTTGATGGGCACTTACATTCATAGGAGTTTATCTGAATTTCATCTAATAAAGTAGATAATTTTTCAAAAATATTTCACTTGTAAAAAAGTGCCATTAGAGCATGACTTAAATGTAGCTCATTTACAGTCATTCAATTAATATTTTTTCACTATTTGAAGCAATTCAATACAAAAACGAGCTAACCAAATCAATACAAGTTGCTCCATTCTGACATTTATTATTTACACAGTCATCAATATTTGTCTCGCACCGATCACCTTCGAAACCTTTTACACAATGACATTTGAAACGTCCGTTTTGAAGTATCTTTAAATTACAGAATTACAACAAATAAAATGCACTTTCTTCTTCTCTAAAATCATGATTACAGAAGAAATAAAATCAAAGCAAACGGAAAGTCCAGTGGTGCTACTTAAAACCTTTCAGTGAATATCGATTGGAATATTTTAGGCTATCAATTCTACTTAGAAGTGCATGCGCAAATAGATAAAAAAATTGTAAAAGCCATAATAAGGCAGTAGATACCATTACCTTGCAGGTGGCGTTGTTTAGACATGGCTCACCGTAACACGCATCGATTTCATTTTCACAGTATTTTCCATGATATCTGGCTGCACATTTGCACGAAAATGTCCTTCCTCTCATCCTTTGACATATGCCGCCATTTTTACATGGATCATCAACGCAAGCATCGCATTTAACTAACACATTTTTCGGTACTTTTTCAACGCATCTGTAAAAAGTTTTTAGTAAGGATTAGAATTTCCTTTAAATTGAATAAAATGCATTATATTTCACAAATACAATTACTTGAACTGCAATTCATTGGCTGATAGAAGCAACTGATTTCGAAGATTTAAAGGAAATTCACATCGAGCAATCCCAGCTTCAATGAAGCGACTTTTTATCCATCGACTGAACCATGCGATACGACAATCGCAATACAATGAATTACTTCCAAGAGCTCTACAACTTTCAACATATTTAAAGAAAATAGAATTTCAATATATTTATGTAAAACATGACAAAGAGCACGATTTAATAAAAAATTAAAATTTCTTACATGTGTGTAATGTTATGGAGATTGGCAAAAGCTGACTCTGGCAAGACTGAAATATCATTTCCATGCAATGAGAGAATACGTAAACTTGTTAAATGTATAAACGCCTCTTCCTCCAGGCATTGAAGTTTGTTATAACTAAGTATCAACGTTGACAATTTGGTCAAATTCGCAAATGCTTCGTTGTCAATTGCAACAATCCGGTTATGACTTAAATCTCTGCAAATTATAATTTAGGGATAAAAGAAAGAACGATTTACTCTATACTAATCAAGAGTGTCAAAATTACCCAAAATTACCATGTTAAAAATTGTCATGTCATTAAAGTCTTCATATTATTAAAACAAACTGAATTATGAAATGATGAAATACGTCAGTGAGAAATACTTGAATATCAAAATACCAATTAATGAACGGGTTTGCTTGTTACGCAATCGATAACTTACAATTTGACAAGATGCTTTAGTTTATTTAATTCAGGAGGAATAAATACAATATCGTTTGAGTCCAAGAATAACTCAGTAGTTTCAGCAGGTATACCAATCGGAAATCTCCTAAGGTTCTTGTTCGAACAGCGCACAATTGTTTCATGACACACGCAACCAGTTGGGCAATAATTTCCATCTTCCGCACAAACATTTTCCGTAGTTTCTCAAAATTTTTCTGGGAAAATTTTTGATCTTGTTTAATTTCAACACGCATAATTTTATCCCGTTAGGCTACAACTATTTCATTAGTGAACAAAATTTAATTTCGGTTGATTGCGTACCACTCAAAACATTTTGTTTAAAAGAAGTAAACTAGAGAAAAATAATGCTCAAATTACCAGTACAGGACAGTTCGCCTTTTTTGAGAGAAGCCATTGTACGGCCCCGGAGTTGTATCGGTTCATGACATATAGCAGAATTCAACAATCGGGACTCATTCATTCGTAGGGATTGAACAAAATCAACGGTATGACAATTACAAATGAAATCATTCCCATCTAACCATCTGCAATATAACTGTACATTTTCTGATATTCATTTTAGAGGAAACCTTTTTTCCAAGCTTTATTTTGTGGAACTTTTGGCTGAAATTTCAAATGTTATCAAATAAAGAATTTGAATAGGAAAAGTAACCAAAATCAGTCAAAGAATTTCGAAATTATACATGGATTTTAATGTTGCTAGCTGTGCGAGCGAATCTGAGAAGCATTTGATCTGATTGTGACTTAAATTTCTGAAACAAATAGTTGGCATTGAGCATTAATACTCATAAATTATCAAATGTAAAAATATTTTCAGATAAATGAAAAAGCTGGAAGTTACTGATTGAAGAAATGCTGAAATAAAGACGAGTTATTTGAACTGAATAAGACGATAATACCAACTAGAGAGTGTTCACGAGAAATATGGAAGTGGAGAGTATAGAAGGAAAGATTCAAATGCATTCCAAATCACCAAAGATGATAAACAATGCTCGAATTGATAGCATAACCGAAAGACACACATTGAAATAATCAAAAAATACCAAGAGTATTACAAAGAGTTGCCTTTTGTGGAATTCAATTAAACATCTTATCACTTACCAAGAAAGACTAACTATATCAAAGCACGTCGGGTGTCCAGATAAGCAGAGAATATCAAACTTTTGAACAGGACAGGGAGTTCGGAATAATAGACATCCTAATCAAGAAATTGACTTGAAGGTATATTTTGAGATTAGAATTATTAGCCTTTTTCGAAAGATGGATGATATTACATCTTTTAAAACTGTAAGCATTTTGAGCAACCGACAAGGACGGAAAGGGAAAAAAGAAAAAATTGCTATTTCGACAATTCCAGTTTACAAGTACTATCCGCCGAATGAAAACGCACGCTATTAAAAGTTGAGATGGATGAGCGATGGTGGCTGTAACAGATGACAGAATCATCCTGATCACTTACGAAAACTTACAGTTTAGTAATTTGTAAATTTCCATTTCCAAATGCTGCAGTCGAAAAATGCCGCAATTTGTTGCGACTCAAGTCACTGGAAAAGCCAGTATTCATCAGTTTAAACAAACAAGAGAAATCAGCCCCAAGAGTGTTATTAATTATAACATGGTGAAAAATAATATACCTTTAATAGTAAGTCATATTTCACATTTCAACATATTGTAACGATGGAAACTTATAGCAACAGGCGTACTAAACAGAGCTGCTAATACCCGGAAAATTGGAACTTGTGTAGATTGGAATGAAATCGTAGGAGAAAAAAAATGTATAAATCAATAATCAAACAAATGAATAAATGGAATAACTAATCTACTGGCAGTTAATATATTGATAAGTTTAGTTAATTAAATGAATTAGTTGATAAAACCTCACAGCTCTTGTAGTTTACCCAATGCAGATAACGAATTGCTCTCAATGAATTCAATTTCGTTACCATCCAACAACCTGGAATTTAATTTTCCCAATTTTATCAAACAAACATAATATTTAACAAAAATTCCAAAAGTATAAAATACACTTAAAAAGACAAAATAAGATGAATACACACAATACGGTTAAATTTTCGAAATGAAGATTAGTTGCAAGACGAATGGTAGCTATCTTATTGCTGGACATACGTAATTCGGTGATATATCGAGGTAGTTTGTGTGGAAAATCAGTCCATCCTCGATTACTGCAACAATTGGTATATTAAAGTTACAGTGTGAAAAAGCTCACTTTGTACATAAAAATACATTTTGTGCTAATAACTCATAAATTAAGTACTTTGAATAGAAAATGTAGTACTTAACTGTTAAGAACAGAAATTATTTATAAGGAATGTATTACCTGCAATCAACGACCGTATTCAAACATGAACAGCCAACCGGACATGGATAGTCGATGACGCAGCGACCAGCGTTAGCTGTTACATACGCTTCTGATCCTTTAAAATTTATTCAAACTGCAGAAAGAAACCACCAAAGCAGCGATTTTCCTTTTTCAGAAAAAATTTTATTTAATACTCGTTACCTTTACATCGAAACTTCGAATGATGTAACGTGGATATACGTCGATGGGCTACTCGTTTTGGTGAATCACAACGTGCGCTACTGGTTTCAACAGCTTTTTTGGTTAGTAAATGAGCAAGCCATTCCTGAGAAACTATCATTACCATCTTCTTTGATCTTCGAAATTTTCAAAATAATCCAAATTCATAATAAGCAAAATTCCAAAATAAATGCAAACTGCATGCAAAACTGACGTAATTGTAATAACAGTGGAATTGGAAAGATGAAATTTAAGGAATTGATTTAAAAAACTAACAAGATTGCAATCACAAATAATTGGATTGCGGGCTAAATGAAGTGTCGTTAAATTAGTCAATCCATCGAAAGTTCCATTAGCAATCGAATGAATTTGATTATCATATAAAGAGAGCAAATTTAGGTTTGTCAGGCTTAAAAAAGTATCTCTTCGAAGACATTGCAATTTGTTAGCATTCAGAAGCAATAACTGAAGATTAACAAGTCCATGAAACGCTTCCGATGGTAAATTACTTATGTTATTTCCATACAACACGCTGCAAAAATGATATTATTAAATCTTCTAAAAATAATAGCTTTATTTCTAAAAACGAACTAACTCAATTCAAACAAAATTGTTTTTTTTTTTCTTCATTTTTTACCATTTTTGCGATAAATAAATAAATAAAACAAATAGCTATAATCCCGCAAGTTCTTTTAAAACTGCTCAAGAAAAAATCTACTTGATTCAGCCTTGAGAATTCAGAATAATTAATATTTCCAGTATTATTTTTGGAATGCTTAAATGTATGGGCTTCAAGCAATGCTGTTTGTTTCTTCTTTCTTTTTTTCAAACATTCTTTAAAGCTCTACAGTGTTGCACATGATTTGAAGGAGAATGTATTTTGGATAGATTATTTTTAGAAATCTAACTTGTACATCTTTTTGGACATATAATTCGCTCAGTAATTAATTCGAAAAAGACTCACAGCGAGTTTAACGATTTCAAACCTTCAAATGCTCGTGGACCAATGTTTCCAATATTGTTTTTACTCAGGTCACTAAATATAACAATGTTTTAATCCCAATTAAACAGTATTATAACTTATCTAATAATTTAATTCTACCAATAATTTCCGTTATCAAAATGAAATTTTTTGGTAAAACTTGACCATTACTTTATAGTCGCACTAACTTACAGTCGTTTGAGCTGATGAAGGTTTTGGAATGCTCGAGGAGGTACATAGGTTATTTGATTTTGCTCAAGCCTTCTGAAAATTTGAAAAATTTTTTAAATCCTCAAAAATTTGAATTTTCTACAAAAATTTCGACAAACTAATTATGTTTCTAATCGTAAAAGGGTCACATTGAAAAGCAATAATAAATGCATAATTCCACAGCTTCAAAAAAAAAGAATTTTAAAACTTTGTTATTCTATCCAGAAGCCACTCACAAAAAACTGCAGCAAACTGGAATAATGTAAACTCACAGCTCAGTAATTGTTGGAGATAGATTAGCTGGGATATGTGTTAGACCGCGATCCCGACAATCAATCGTCGTTTCGGTGCATGTGCAAACCGACGAACACACTGAAGCATCACGACAAGAACTCGCTACACGTTTTTCAATCCCAGAACATTTCATTAACTGAAATTAAGTAAATCGATAGATTACTCACAATTTATGTTTTTGAAATTTGAACATCATTTTAAACTTCATTACAAAAATTCTGTTCAAACAACATCATGGCTTTGTCACCAGTACATTTTTCGTGTAAACTTATATCAGCTCATCTAATGTTTTCATGAAATGATAGAGTGCCCAATGCTGTAAGAGACTATATTTTTTACTTTAGCTAATTTTACAGAATTGAAAAATAACCTTTTATCTATCATTGCCGTTTTTTTTTTGAGTGAAATTAAATACTATAAAAATACAGTTTTAATCGATTATTTCTATTTTATCTTTATGTTGAAACAACATTTACAGTTGGATTACCCCTAATCCAACTGAAAATGTTGTTTCAACTTAATTTATGGAGAGTAGTGATCAGTTTGCGAGATCAAAGCCCAACTATGCGATATAACCAAACACGTCTATTTCTAATTGCCTTTGGTGATTTATATTTCTTGCCTACAGATTTTTTTGCATAAATTCGGTTCTTGCTTTTAATATTCATACCACTCCGTTTTCTTATTCCTTGAACTTCCTTACATCTTTAGAAATTTTAAAAAACTTTAAAAGATTGTTGAGAATACCGTTTCATCGATATTTTCCAGCATACGAGAATGCAAATGCGCTGGCCGATGGCATCGTGTATTTCGAGCCAATAAATGTGAATTGGAAATAATTTTTTTCATCCATCGTAAACGACAATCACAAAGCCATGGATTTTCCGCCAACCTTCTAAATACTTTGCACAAATTTCACACCTCGAATTAGCAACTCGAGGTCCAGATTTTGTTAAGCTGGAGGATTAGTTTTAATTTTTAGATTTTGGGCATTTTTTTTTCCAAATAAGCGATTTTGTCATTAATCCAGTTTCAAATAAAGGAGATGAAGTGATATCTTATATCGCTCTTTGATTGATACAATCAGAAAAGTTCAAAAATGATGGCCGAATTTTCACTTTTTCTCAAAGACATATATTCTTAATTTTCGCTTACAGGACGCGGAGATTGGGCATTGGTCCAAGCTGCCCCACTGTACTCAAATTGTTCCTATTCAGTGTCAAAATTTCCATTTCTGTCCATGTTGATATCACGTGGCTATCTAAGCTGTAAACAATCATTTATGCAATCTTGAAATTGATGTAAAATTATTTTAGAAGAATATCGAATATCATCAAGTCGGTGACTACTTCTGAATATTGCTATGCATAAGCGATTTTATCAAAAACCGCCACCCTGTCACATGTACTGAATACTAAAGGGAATAAAAGTCAACAATGCAGTTCTTTTTATATTTTTATGAAACTCATTTATAACCAAATAAAGCTGATCACACGGTTTTGTATGTCTCTAAACGATTGCTCATATGAGCATATGAGCAATCGTTTAGAGATATACATACAAAACTGTGTGACCAGACTTCAAGCGGACATTTATTGATGTTTTCTTGTAGTTTGCATTTCTTGATTTTTGTGACATCACCCAGACAAATGCCAAGACCTTTTTCTCCTCCATCTAATTTTAGTTTTTCGATTTCAAACTTTGTAAAAAACTGAATGAGAACAGCAAAATTTTCAAATCGCAAAGAAGTCACCTGCTAAAAAACTGATAAAAGTTATCATATTTAGAATAAGAATCCAAGTTTCAAAGTCTTTCAGAATGTAAGGTAATCTTATTTGAAACAGTTTATTGAAATTAGAAATCATGCGTCACCAAGCAAAACACTGGAATTTCAACGGATCTTCAGTAATTCCCTCCTGCATCATAGTGCCACGAGGAGTTAACTGAGAAGAGGAGTTATTATCAAGCAGATATAAAAATGGATAGGTTACTAAATAAGCAGGTAAGATGCATAATCAAAATTCAATAACTCAGTAGCCAAGAAAAACATTCTAAAAAGTTGTTGTCCAATATTTTCAATGTAAACTTAAAACTTGAAGAGGCAAAAGAAATGATTTTAAGTTACCATGTTAAAAAATTTCGGTCAAGTTGTAAGTTGTGCACTGATTTCGGCCCTTGTAGTTGCGCATCAGTCAACACAGTTAATAGATTCTCACTCAAATCCCTGCAAATAAAATTCCGGTCCATTTTAAAAGCTTGAATAATTTATAATATCTATAACACCAGATCCTTGTTATGTCATCATTTCAACTTTGTTGACCTCGCAGTCTAAATCTTTTCTTCCTAAGTTTCATCACTGAGATATTTACTAAAACATATTTAGCTGATTTCAAAATTAAATCAGCCCCTATGATATTTAAAAATACATTCCATTTTGTTAGAGTTTGCTATTAAAAATAACAAATGCGGCTCCAACTTCCTCTTTCCCTCCTTCTTCTTATATCTCTCTATTGCAAAACATATTATCCATTATTGATAAGTTTTTCCTCTTAAAATTTTCGACACTTGCAGATATATAGTGACTTTCTTAGACTTTGAAAAACTTTAAAACATAATCAGACATTACTAGAATTTCAAAATTTTAGAGCTCATTAAAGTGCAGCTTCAGATTCGAACTTTACTTACCAACTAATGCATTTTATTTATATCTGTCTTTGCAACAATTTTTTGAGTAAAGGAAAAGGTTGAAAAGCTAATTGAACATCATTCCACCTAATTTATAATGCTTTACTTCACCAACGAGCTTCATTTGTTTTGATCCTCATCCGGGATTCCAATGTGTATATTTACGAGATAATAAGAGACTTCTGTTACTATCGAAAGCCTGTTAGATCTTATCCATCAATATTGTATCATTCACCGATTCCGACCCTTCATATTACAACTTTACACAGCTGGGATCTATTTTTTGTGACTACAAATCACTTAATATCATAAAAACAATAGTAAAGAGCAAGATCAAAGATGTTGGTTGATTTGGAATCAATCTGAGGCAGATTTCCTCTTTCGGCTGACATTCTTCAAATCGTTTCTTAACGGTTCGTATTTCTCTAAAGTTTAGCAAGTACTGCTTTCCTTGTAAGTCTGAAAAATAAACTGCAAAAAGGGCAGTTTGATATATACGCAACAAGTAACAGTTATAAGGAAATCAGAGAACAAATATAATTCTTTCAGGACGCCATGATTTACGATCAGCTATTTTTCCAGATGTGCCTAATATTGTCCACAAAATTTAAGGTACCGTTTGATAACTATAAAAAAATAGTGAACACATATTTAATAATAAAGAAGTATTGAAACCAAAAAAAGAATGTGTGTATAATTTTCTCTGGAAGAATTTGGAAATGGAGAATGCGCTATTTCTTACGGCATTTCGACAGTGATAGTTTTTAGCCTTGAAGTTTCGAGAATTATATTTCTCTGCATAAGAATATCATGTGAAAAGACTAAGTTTAACCATTTTACCAACACTTCATACATGTATTGTGGTGCTAAATTTTTGAACTCTCATTTTTGCTCTCAATATATCATAATTCTAAGTGATTTGAAATTTTCAAGAATTACTGCTTTACAAAAATATCAGGTACGAAACTTTCATGCTGTACATTCTATCCGCAAGCTTGCTCCAGAAATTTCAATTCATATAATCTTTGCTAAACAGAAAAGATCCTTCATGCAAAGTTTGTTCACAGTACATATTGCCTACTCATAGCAATGTTCCACTTCATGAGAAATGAAAAAAAAGGTCACTGAAAAGTATGATTAATTCCAAACTCTCAATTTGTTAACCTACCATAGCGCTTATTTCGTATATTATGTGAGATTTTCATAATATATTGTTTTAGTAAGATTTTATCGTAGCCATGTTGGAATCGAATTTTTAGCAGCAATTTTCTGCAATTCATTCAGAACCTTTTAAAACTTCTCGAAGAGTCATCCAAAAATACCAGAACTATTTTTAAAATTTTGATTCTCTTCCAAGTTTTCTTTTGGAGAAAACCTTAATTTGGAAACCCTGGATATAATCATGCTAAAAGTTCATCTATGACTCCGACTACTGTCAAACTGATATTTAACGGGAAGAAAAACTAATTTTGGCAGAGAATCCTATCAAACTCCGAATATAGTTTCTCATTTCTTGCATCAGATTAAATGATAAAGGGAACTTATTAATCGGGGGAAAGAAATATTTAAAAAGTGACATATTGTTTTTTTTTTTTAGTTTCAGAAGTTAATTTCACTTTACAACAGTTGTTCACAAATGTGCTCGTTTATAAATTCATATGCATCTTGTTCCCCTTACGCTGACGAGGCAGCCGTTATCCAACTCTCTCAACTGGCGTCAGCAATATATCCTTCTGATAAGCATTATGTATTTCAATAATTTGCACGGAAATTGAAAAAAATCACTTTGTATAAAATTTAAAGTGAAAAAAGCAACAAAACTGAGACTGTCAACAAGCTCACAAGAGCAGGAATTCTCAGTTACAAATCAAAGAGATAGGGAGGACATTCAACAAAGAAGTCATCAGCATTGGCTTGTAAAATAAAAATTGAAATGTGTGAAAACTTCATGCTTATTAAACTATTGGAGTATCAAAGGATCCGTTGGAATGTTTTTCGTAAAAAGTGCAATCTTTTTCACAACTTGGGAGATAAAAAAATCCTTTAGTTTTTCACTTTAATGCACTTATCAATTGCAGTGCTTTATACAGAATTACTACCCCTTTTTCTGCTACTCATTTAGAGCTTCAAATTTTAACTCAAAAAACTGATTAACTTGCAATATATTCAACCTTATCTGTACTTTATACATACTTTTATTAGACCAAATCTACGATAAATCTCAAATCTTCGATATGCAGCTAAAGTGAATGTAATCAAAAATAAGGTTACTTAGCTTTAAATCTACTGAATTCCGATAAAAGTGTAAAATATTTATGCTTTGCAATGACTGGCAAAAAAAATCAACGTTTTTTTATGTACATCAAAATTTCCGAATCAAACTTTGAAACCAGAGATTTCTTACAATACAGGGATGAAAACGAAAAGAAAATGAGGTAAATCGTTCCAAAAAGTTTCTTACAATGTTAATTAAGTAGTGTAGAGAGCGAATCTATGCAAATTTATGAATCTATTTATCTCGATGTTTGCTGGCCGATCGACAATAGCGACAAATGGGACACATTGAAGGTGAAGGAATTTAAGGATAAAGAAGAGATCAAAGACAATTTCTCTACAAAAAGAATGTTGAAAAACGTAAAAGCAGCATGCAATTTCAACTACTAACTTCTTACTGTTTCTATGAATTGGAAAAGTAAACAAAACATTGTTGACTAAAACTTGAAATGATTTAGTTTGAAATAAACATGCTAGCTTAAGGCAAAATTTTATAGGTTTTTTTTGTAAATAAGTTCACAATTTTCTTTTTATTCGCTCTTCATTCTTTATGTTCTGATCACTGTTATCAGATCCGATAGGTCTCTTACATCAGAAATTTATGCGTCGAAATGGACACGCAAATTATTAAAGATTTTACAGAACTTATGGATGAAAGCAGACAGAGTTTCAAATCAAATAAAGACTACTGAATCCTCCTCTATAGCGCCAGTGGAAACGGACAAAAACTGTTGAGCAGCTTTGAATCTAACCAAAAAAAAAATGGCCAAAGACTTAGGAAAAATGAAGTTCTCCAAATCATATGTTAAAAAATTAAATTTTTAACAACAAAATATTAAGATATCCTGATTTATAAAAACAGAATATTTTTAAGGTTGTAATTACTTGATCCCTAATAAATTTTGAAAAATTTATTTCAGTTGATAGTGACAGCTAATTTGAATGTATCATTCAGCTGATTATAATGTGATTGGTACAACAAACTGTATTAAAATTTACAGCAAAGAGGAAAGGAGGGAAGAATATAAACCAGAGAGATAGAATCTGACCTTGAAAATATGAGTCAATTATTCATTGCTCATCCCTTCTTCATCTTCGCCCAAATTTCCTTTTTTTGAAAACAATTATTTTATTCGCTAACTTCTTTTGATATGAATGAACAAGGATAAGAAGCAAATATGTCCATGCCATTCGAAAAGTTAAAAGATAACAGTGGTAGAAAGCAATTTCAACATTCATTAATTTCGCTTTGTAACAGCGTGGAAACGATAACAGTCTAATTGTTCCTTACATGAAAATTCCAAATTGTTTAAAACAGACATAAAAATGTCAGAATATTGTTACGTCTTACAAAGTGACCATTTTTATTTTCCTAAAACGATAACAATTGAGGAAATGTTAATAGCAAAGAATTGTCCTTGCAAATCAAATATAGTTTTGCAATAAGAATGAAAACGATTTTATGGATGTCAGATATTGCATTACAATGCGGTAATGAAATAAATATACTGCTTCTAAGGTACCTGGCGAAGCGTTTTAAATATTTCGAAATATTTCATTAAATTGACAACGGACTTTCTCAATAATGTCTTTTTTTTTCAACATCATTGATTATTTTATCCCTCTCTTGTCAGCTGTGTTAGATCATTAAGTACTCAGTTATAGTGAGGATAAAATTATATTGGATTAACAAATGATGAAAGATTAGCAAAATTGGTTACTAAAATATTTATGGGAAATTAAATGAAGAATTTAGTAAGAATGAATGAATGAATTATTTCATGGATTCGGTAAAGAACTTACTGATTAACAAGTAATTATATCTGCAAGTTTTTGACAGATGCACATTCAGCACTACCACTGTTGAATTTATATGTACTATTTATTATTTAGCTCTGATTAACAAGCAACGTTGAAATATTTCAAAATTAACAAAAGCTAGCTTTGTTCTCTAAATCAATAAAATTTGGTTTCTTTTTGATAAAAATAATCATTTTCTTGATGGCAACAGATAAATTTAGCTTCTAAGTTCAAAAAAATCAGAAAAATTAGTTCCAAAAAATTTCCAACCATTATATTTCTATGACAACATCAAAAGGTTTTATAACTTTTGAAAAAACTAACAAACGACGTAAGTTAACATTGTTGATGAAGATTTCGTCTGGTAATGTCCGTAAATGATTTCTGTTTAATCGCCTGTAAAATTGCTGTCCAGAAACTGGTTTCATTACAAAAATATAATAAGCTCATGATTTAAATACTCAGTTCTAGGCTGGCAACAACTATTTATTTTGATTAATTTTCGAAGCTCCAACTTGTCACACCAATGAATTTTTGCAAATGTCGGCATTGATAAATTTTGATATCTTTCAAAACTGATCATGATTATTGAATAAATGATCTAATTGGACAAAAACTCACAATCTCTCCAGTGCTATTAAATTATCGAAGGCGTCACTTTCGATCATATGAATTTGATTATCCATCAATTGTCTGTAAGCCTAATGCTTACTAAATATGCAAATTCATTAGCATTTCATTTGAATAGAGTAATGCCAATTTACATTACAAAAACTTATCCATCGGAAGGACTTCGTGTAAGTAAAAAAAGAAAAGTAAGTTAAAGAAATAGGAAGACACTTATCATACAGATGACTGGAAGGTATATTAAATGCAACCAACAAGATTTTGAGGTGACGCAGAGCCTTAAGGTCATCCCTTCGTATTTCTGATATTTTGTTCTCTTGAAGGTCTCTGCAACTACTTTTTAATCGTGAATTTAATCTATACATCAAGGTGTCCCATTACATCCGTCCATAGAAGAAAACAAATAAAAAAAGAAACATACAGTCGTACAGTACCGGGCGGTATCTTGGATGGTATCCTGAGAAGACCTTGTCCGGTACAAATGACTGTATCCGGAGAACATGAACACAAATGTGGACATGAATTAGAGGCAGCTTTGATTGTAAGGGTCAGATGCAAGATTGCCACACCAGGAAGCAGCAGCATATTCGGGCCGCTCAATCGACGCAACCCATTCTCCCAGTTTCTGCAACGGCCAACTGAAATGGGCGCCCCGCCTCTCCTACGTTCTTCGCCTCGACCTTTTCAACGACGATCATCTGCTCATTCACTCATCCAACCACGCATTCAGCAATCATTATTGCCGTCATCCCATCATCATTTTCCGGTATTTCTGGGGATAGCCTTACAACCATTCGTCATTTGTTCCCAACCTATAAGTGCTTAAAGTGTGTGAAGTATAGATGGAACAGTAATATGCAGATTTAATCTACGTAGCACAAAGACTATGATCCGAAAAGATCAGAATTCCGGTATCTTCTTATTAGGCCAGTAAGTCGAACATTCGATGTCTGAAAACAGTATGTTTACCGTATCTTGACCTTTACGCCGTACCGCATTCACCTTAGATTCTCACAATTCTTCCAAAGAATTCGATTCTTAATCTTTCATTAACGTTAACTAGAACAGACATAAATAAGTACTCTGAGTTTTTTGAAAATTTTCCAGCTAACTGATGGTGATAATAGCAGCAGATCAGATAAGATATTGTCACCTTGCAAGCATAAAAAACGCCATATAGATTTCATTTTAAAAAAATTTTGGAAGACTTTGCAAAAGAACATTTTTAGTTACCAGTAACCGTGACAAATATACTGAATTTCAAGACTATTTCCACGAAAAATTTTTATTTTCATTTGAAACTTATTTTACTCAAAAATTTCTACATAAAATTTTACACGCGATAATTCATATCTTTCAATTCTTTGTTCAGTTTCAACAGATTTAAAACCTTTTAAGTTATAGTCAAAATGTATTGCGGTTTCAGTGAAAATCGATGCAGCATATAACATATTCTGATCCTAAATAATTTTTGCGGGGTGCATTTTTCATTGAGAATTTATTGGATAGCAGAATTTCGGAAGTAATATTTCGATTAAAAATTTGAGGAGATGGGGTTGATGAGGTTGATGAACTTTTGGATATTGCCAATAGCAATTACTGCTCCTCTCTTTGCAACAATTCAATTAATAACTACATCTGCTCATTGTGTACCGTAATCACATATGACATGATGATTCATGACTAGTTATATTCCCATAAAAGCAGCAAATAGACAAATAAATTAGCAGGAAGATGAGTAAATAAATAAACAAATATACATATGAACATGTTCCATTATTTAAAATTGAACCTTTTCCATCAAAATAGCAATGATTATAAGTATTGTTTGAGAGATATAATCATGCTGCTGACTATTGCACAAAAGAAGAGAAAAAATTACGTCGTAAATTCTAAAACAGAGAGCAATCGGTTTTCAAGTAAAGTAAGTTAAATCCATGCATTGAAGTTTTGTAACATGAAGTTTTTGCTGCTGCAAAAAAGTAATAAATATGGAAATGAAAATCCATAATTTTTGTAATATATATACATGTATTTCATTTTTGCAGTAATAACCATAATCATTCGACTGATTAGTAAACAATTTTTTCAAACTAAATATGTTCAATCCTATACACTTTTCTATGGTTTTTTCTTTCATAAAAATATTGACAGTGTAAATTTTCAATAGAACTAATTTTTTTGTTTCAAAGGCTTGCTTGAAATGAAATTTCGACCGTTCACTTTTTAAGAATTAGATAGTTCTGTAAATACTTCAAATTGAATGAGTAACAACTGCAGCGGAAAATGTGAATGTTATATTTCAAAATTTCAGCTTTGTAAATTATTGATTATAACAAGAGATAGATTATGGCTTCTCTTTTCTTAGCCTTTTGCTTTAATGCTCCTAAAAGGCTAGAGAAAGAGCTGAGCCCAAAGCATTCAGCAACGAAGATTGACATTCGTAATAGTGGCGATAACAGCGGCAATAACAACTCTAACGAAGAAAGTTGTCTTCATTTAGATAGTCATGCTCCAAAGAACAATCTTAGACTGCTCTACTCATATTTGCTGTCTGCAAAAAGTATTAATACTGCAATTATGTACAGCTGCAGTAGTAACCTTTCATCCTGAACATTGCTCTAATGATACTGATGTCATGGATCATCTTTTAACTGAGGCTGCAGTCCGCCACAATCGTCTTAAATTGCCATCTAGACCAGTTATTGTACGAATCGAAATGTGGATTCAAGAAGTAACGTATGTTTCCGAGCTAACTGAGGATTTTGAAATTGGTTCGTTTAAATTAAAATGTTTAAAATGTTCAAAATAATCCGTTAATTAAAATCATGCTGCATTTGAGGTTATCATGATCTTCAGTGCAGTCACATAAAGACTAATTTGACGATAAGCTTCAGGATAATTCCTCATAAGAAAAAAATCGCTATTGATGTTTCATATGACATACCGTAGAAAGACATTCTATAGCGCTGACCTTTATTTACGTAACAGAATGATTTCATTTATATTTTTTAAATTGTTTGATTGAAGTTTCGAATTCAAGAGTAATGGATAGTTCCACTTCTATGATTATTCCGGGTAATACTCATTTATTCATGATTTTTGTAAACATTTTTTATAAATCTCAAAGTTACTATTAATTAAAGAAGTATAATTTGCTTGAAGATAAGACATTAGGACGAATGTGATGGTATGACGACATCAAATTTCATTTTTGCAAGTGGACATTAGGAAGAATGCCATTAAGCATGTGATTCCATTCCTGTATCAAAGCCAATGTAGTAAAAATTTTAAAAAATTGGAAAAAAAAATTGAAAGAGGATGGAAAGATAAAGGCACGTAGCAACCAATTTAAATTTTCTCCCTGGTCCTAATTTAAAAAAAGTTACTCTTAAATCTAATTCACGTTCCTTTTCTAGCTACCACCAGAATTCCATTATATGAACAAATCGAATGACCATATTTTCTGAAATGATCCAATCTAAATTCATTCATATTCTTAAATATTATAACAAAATCTTAGTATCTGCTTTGCAGATTTGTATGTGAATGAATTTTGGGAAGATCCTGCACTTAACTACGAAGTGCTCCTCCCATGTAACCGCAACTTAAGCTTTGATCACAGCATTCAGGAAAGTATTTGGATTCCTAACACTTGTTTCATCAACTCGAAAAAAGCACTTATTCATAGCTCGCCATTCCGGAATGTTTTTTTTATGGTCTTTCCAAATGGTATGTAAAGTTGTTTCGAAGAAAAGAAAAATTTCTCCAAAGAAATAAAATAATGATAAAACTAAAGGAAAATGTTCAACTCGTTTTTTTTAGCACAAACAGGTTTGAGCACTTAACGTTTTTGATGATAAACGTTCACATCAGTTATTGCGTCTAAATTTTGTAAACAGCTCTTTTCTCTTTTTTTCTAAAATTTGCTATTTCAGGCTCGATATGGTCATGTTGGCGCATCAAGAGCACGGGCCCATGTCATATAAATCTGCGTAACTTTCCAATGGATTCTATATCGTGTTTGCTGACATTTGAATCCTATAATTACAACATTCAGGAAGTACGAATGAAATGGAACGAACCTCATGATGTGTTAATGTTTAAGGATATTGAATTACCAGATTTCACTTTGGTCAACTATACAACTTCTATCATTGAAGCTGTAATTTTAATTTATTTTTTTATTTTTAGAAGTTCAAAATCTTTTTGTGTGAATTTAAAATTTAAATTTATCATCAAGCTAACATAGTAAATCAACATTTGTAGGAGTATGCAGCAGGCTTATGGGACGAACTTACTGTTTCATTCACGTTCAAAAGGAGATATGGATGGTACATTTTGCAAGGTAAGATTAGTCCACGTTCTTCAATTTCATGCAAGAGAACTATTATTCAGATGAATGTTAATTTGATATCATTCAGGATATATTCCAACATATTTAACAATATTTATCTCATGGATACCGTTTTATATGAGTCCACGAGCAATGCCAGCTCGAACTATGATTGGTGTAAATTCTCTCCTTGCAATGACATTTCAATTTGGAAACATTATACGAAATTTGCCACGAGTATCATACATTAAGGTGAATTCCCCAAATATTTTCATGCTTTACGTTTAAATTCCCAATGTTGGTGATATAACTAAATTTTCCTGAAAAAAATAATAGTTCTATTGCTCTTTTGAAAATTTCCAACTGTAAGCTTTTGAAATTCCTTCAAGCACTTTTACTAGCACATGAATTGAATAGTGACTTTTATTGCAGGCAATTGATGTGTGGGTTCTAAGGTAAGCATTTAAATTACACATCCTTTGCTACAAAACGTTTCTAAAAAATAAGTTTTCCGAAAGTTGATATCGTCCTTTATCAATTTTAAACTAGAGGAAGTAATTTTATTTTTGTATTTTACAACAATTTTTTTGGGGTTGTGCATCAACTGATTCACGACAAATAACTGCATCTATCATCTTTTTAAGAATAATGTCATCACGTCATCACCGAGAATAATTGTATTCATCTTTAAAGTAATGAACCCACACTCATCACCTGGCTTGCTTAATACATAGCTATGTATTTTTGGGCATTTTATTATTCTTCAATTAAATTTCAAAGATCCACTCTATTTTCCTCATTATTTGCTCAGATAAGCACCACCTGTTGAAATATGATGAGAATATCTAATAGTGGGAAAGAAGGACATGAACACAAATCAAATAAACTTCATTCCTTTTTGGTCTTCATTCTCTTTTCTAACAACAAAAAATGATGACAACTTCATTATACAGTTCCGTCTAAAACACTCTGTCTGGTTAAGCTATTATAAAATGTATAACGGTTAATTTTAAAAAAGATCGAAAGTTTTACATGTTTATTTTTCTTTCCTTCCAAAATCATCAAAATTTCAAATGTCCTTCGAGTCTTTTCATACAATAGGAAAATATGTAGTGGATTTTTTCGACATCTTTTTTTGTCTTTTATATCAACAATTCATATGAACTAATTAATGAATATATATGACACTCATATTAGGAATGAATGTAATATCGATAACAAAAAAAGGCTTTTAAAATATGAGATCATTTTGAAAGACTTTCGAGAGCATAAAATGACGACTAAGTTAAACAAATTAAAATGTTAAAAATTTTTTACGACAGCTATTTGCATAAATTTCATATAAGTCTGACATGCTCTAATCAAAAATTGGTTTTCACAATTTCCATCGATTTTTCTACTTTTTTTGACCAAAAAAAGTGAATTATTTTGGAAAAAAACAATACGAAATGTTTTCATAGTGGAATGACTTTTATATTCGCGTCGTTGATTGAGCTTGCGATGGTTGGTTTTATGAATCGGTATGAGGGTCGAACAGATACAAAACCAAATGATATACGGAAAAAGGTTACTTTTCTACTTTTTATATTAGTAAAATCGAGAGCGATAAATTGAAGACCAATCTCTTGAGGCATTTTCATGATGACAATAGCAAACCGCCGTTTTGCATGCATCCAATGACCAGACTGCATGTGATTTCAATTCTATAAATGAGCATAAATTGAAGCATGTAATACATGCATCATATCGCGTACTTTAACTGATATCACCATTAATCAAGTTCGCGTTTCGTAATGGTTTTTTTTTTAAGTAACGTTTAAAGAAGATTTAAATCAGTACCATTACTAACGAATGTCTTTTAGACCACTAATTTTCAGAGAAAAACGTCCATTCTCGATAGTGAAAAACTAGATCTATATTCAAGAGCAAGTTTTCCTCGTAAGTTAATTATGTAATAGAATTGTATATGCTAATTTTATCATAATCCTGAACTCTTTTAGTCTTCTTGTTGGTTAATTTCAGAAAAATTTGCTTAAATCAAATTTTTTACCGGGAAGAGAAAGCTCCTCATTTTCGTTTCTAAATCGAGTTGCTCTTATATCATATATGGATATAGGATAACTCGCATCAAAAGATCGGCGTAATCCTCAAATCAAATAGATATTTCTCAATTTCCACATCTGTTTAGTCCTAATAATTCTATCATGCGATGGTATCATCACATGATAGAAGCTGATTCAATGATTTGCGATGTAATTTAATGAAATTTTCAGTGGTATATGCAACGTTCAACATGATATATTGGGGTTATTATATGAATGGATTAATTCTACAATAAAGATATCCCACGTGGTTTTTCAATAAAATGCCTTTTTCAATTTCCAAGAGCGTTTTTTCCGACTGTGCCTATTTTTCCATTTGTTGACTGAATATTTGAAGTTCAATTATTATCTGGTTTCCTTACTTTATTGTAACACAACAGTCATATTTAAATCAATCATATATTCGAAACATGACAACGAAGCTTCGTCTTCTCCATATAACGTAAGAGCAGTCCTAGGAGCAGTAATTAATGCCACTCATATTAATCTTGCATTGTTAAAGAAGCGCACAGAAATATGGTACCAAATTACTCTCAGAGATGAGATTGCGATAATGAACAGCGAATGATTTTCATGGAAATTTCAAGTAAAAAAGGGATTTATCTCAAGCCAAGGAAAGCATAAAATTTAATTTCATTACATTACAGATCAAAATCAGATAAACCGAAATCCTTACTATGCATGCACAGAAATAATTAAAACTTCCTTGATAATGATACCTTCTGCTCTTATAAACCAGTTTTTTTCTAATAGCTAGAGTTAAACAATGGCCAATTTCTCCCTAAAATTGCGGTTGACACCATATGCGTGATGAATTTATTGATCGATGAAATGCATTTAATTTTGTATATAAAGGATACATCAAATAAAACTATGATGTGTTATTTGGAAATGTTAACAAAAAAAGTCTTTGCAAGGTACACAGATGTTTTTATCAAATGAGCTCAAAAAAAGCAGATGTGGGTTTCAATCAAGGATATCCATACATTGATACTGAGGGAAGCTATGAAGAGATTTTCCAACGTAGCAACAGTATGATTGTTCTAAGAATGATAATTAATGCCATGTAGTAATTTGGAAGTTTAATGTTTGGGAGCGTTTTAATAATTGAATTGAATTCCGAAGTAATTAAACTTTTTTGAAGTTTCCAAGAATAGCTTCCCACTGAAACTTCCCTTATAATTTGTAATGCAGATGGAAATTTTGAAAAAATTTTATAAGCAATGAGCAATGAATGGTTCTGATTCAAAAAATATTCATTATAATACGCAAAAATGCCCATCATCAATTCCAAGATGTCTTGTTTTACGTCTGTAAACAAGTGAAAATAAAGTAAACAAAAAGATGGGTTTGGTATTTTGAGGATGTAAATGACGTACAGAACAGTAAACATGAAACAAAAGTACAGTGAAATATACATCATTTACATGGCAAACAATGCAGCTAGGATAACTTAGTTCGTCAAGGCTTTCCAGTGAATCATGCGGTACTTACTTTCGTTTCTTGTTTTGCCAATCAGTGTAAAGACGTCTGTATGTGTGAGAAAGTGATATTGATTAGGCTTGGACTAACGTCCAATGTCGCTAATGGTATTGCCTTCATTAAGAGCTAAATAATTGTTCACAGATTACATCATCACAAGAAACGCTTTGAGAAATGTTTGGAATGAATGAAAGGAGAATAGTATGAGGATAATTTAAACATCATGCGCTAGTGGTATTTATTGCCCTCATTAAGAGATAAATAATTGTTCATAGGTCGGTTACTCTTTAGTAGGGTTTTGCCTTGGCCAAGCCTTAACAAATTTAAAATGTACGAAAGTGTGATTTTTTTTTTCAAGAACTAATGTGGAATTCTAAACAATAGCTTCCGGAATGTTCATCAACGTCTCATATTGCTTAATAAGCAATATAATATACCTGTGGCAAGTATACCTGTGGCAAGTAGCAAAGTGACAGTGGTAAAAAAAAGCATGTTCAGTTTGTATCGATGCATTTGAACGAGAAAATGCTTTCTTCAGTTTCCATTCAACTTTTTTGTAACATAATTATTAGCATTAACGAAATTCAATTAGGAATTTCATCATGTGATGTCACCAAATAGCATCAGTTTGGCAAATATGCAACTACCTTGTCAGTATTGCACTTAATATTCAAATTCGTTTTGGATTGAAACCACTTGTAAAACTACGTCACTGATGTTTGTATTCATCCTTATCTTCATCCAACACCCACCAGCGCACATACTCACACTGACACGCACACGCACACCCTCCTACACACATACACACACATGCACACATACACATATATACCAATGTATCCTCACTTCGTTGACACATAGCGAAGCTGCACTGTCTAGCAAGCAAAATTTCTGCACTCCTTTGTGTGTGTGCACGACTGTGTGTTTATCAGCTGTATGTTATTTATATATATACGTATATGGTGTGTATATGGGGTCTGTGTAAATTTGTGGTTAGTATGTGTGGCTCAATATGGTTGCCAGAATGGAGCGACTTAGTTAATGTGCAGTAGCCGTTGTGCATACATACACACAGCTTTAGGCAATAAGCAGAGAAAATAGAGAGTTGGCTTGCAGCGCAAGAATCTAAACTGAGTGATCGCTTAAGCGAGAAGCGGTTGTTGCAAGAAGAAGCGAGCGTTTCTTTTTTTGTAATTGAAAACATGGTTGATACAGAGTGCAGTTGCAATAGCAGTAGGAGTAGTAGTTGATGTTGCTACAATCACCCGCCATTGTATTGTGTAGTACTTCTGTCATCTCCACATTCATGCTTTTCTCCGTTTGTCTGTTCCACAGGCATGCATTGACGATTGAAGATGCATGCCATCCAGTCGACAAACTTGTATGCTATACCTAACATCTCAGTCACTCCATTTGCCAACTCCCATTCACTCCGCTCCTCTCCTTCCTTCCTTCCTTTTTTCCGTCCTTCCTTCCTTCCTTCCGTCCTTCCGCCTTTCTTTCCATCCTTCCTACCTTTCTTCCTTTCTTCTATGGTCGCGACTATTTTATTAAAGTTTTGGCATCGGTTCCGTTTATATTTTAATAGTACTAGTATTGCTTATTTTGTGTTATTTGGTTTACTTATTCTGTAGTTTACAAATTTTTTTTGCTTGGACACGATTTTGCAAGCGTGAGATTTTCTATAGCCGCCAGTCAATTTACTAGTGTCTGAAAGGTGTGCATTGACCGATATTGCACATGTGCTCGGATGGCAATGATAGTGTAAATTGGTTCAGATCTCCATCGTCAATGTTTGTTTAAAAATGCCATTGAAATATGGATGCCACTGTTGTGTTGCTTTCATATCGTGACAGATCAAATGTACAGAGAAGTGGATAACTCTTATTTATTACTAGAGGTGGCCCTTGTCGAATCATTCATTCACTAATTAGGTTTTTTGATGTTTTGTTATGTTTGTGTTAGCTTTAATATATAATATTCTTTCGTTTTGTTTGGAATTCTGAAAAATACTCATCATTGTGCTACTGTGATGATGCAATTAGCAGCTAACAGCTTTCATCATCATAGAAGCATAATGATGAGTATTTTTCCATGAGACATCTATTTTTCATCTGGTAACATTTGCACCATTCGCAGTTATTGTAATTTTGATTTTGCTAATATTAACCAAATCATTGGTTCTTCATAATTGCCAAGAATCCATGATTATCGGATGGTCTATTTGTACATTAGCACGCTCAGATAGCTTAGTTGTAAACGAATTTAGAATCATCGGGTCTTCATTAAGGTATGCTTGTTTTTGTAATTCTTCGTTTTTATATGTTATATGTATATCCGGTTTGTGTATATTAAAGATAAAGTCGTAGGTTGCCTTTTAGTTTCCATTTTGAAAAATGTTGAAGCGAAGTGAAAATACTCTGTATCGATTCGCTTCGGATAGCATGAGATCTCTTTCGCGATTAATTGATTCTCTTTGTTAGATCTTTTGGCGGTATTAAAGAAGACTTATTTTACTGAAAAAGCGAAACGAAACATCACAAGAAAAGTGAACCTATTTTAAATCTCGTAAAAAATCTCATGACAACTATTGAACAGCAGTTATTCAATTAATTGTTAACAGGTGTCCCGTTGTCGTGGATACTGTTGGTGAGTACTTCAATGTCAAACTGGGCAAACATTTCTTTCTATAGTCGTTAAAGGTTATATAGAGGGATAAATTTAAAGAGGCAACTGTGAAACGCACGAAACATGGAGACGTTCATGTTTTTGTCATATTTGTTTACCGATGAATGTAAGAGGTTTGGGAAAGGTAAATTACTCTTCACCAAAAATAATTTTTGTATCATCCTTTTTCGCTGTCAATGTTCAGTGTTCCATGTTTTGCATCCATTCTGATTTCTTTCTAAGGTTCCCTCATCTTTTATTTTTTTTCAAACCTTGCTTGATTTTCCAATTTCTAGATGTTACATGGTTAGTTCAAGAGGATATGTTACTGCACGGGTCATACGAAGTCAAAGTAAATGATTGAGCAGCTGGCTCGTGAGTCTCCTTTAGGGGTTGCTTTTGGTCTTATACGGCAACGAACTGTACTGTTGAACGATGTAAAATTTTAGCTGAAATTTAGTTTGGAGAGTTAATCTACATTTTTTTAATAACATGATAACATAATCTGCGATCAGAGATTGCACACATTGGATAACATGCATAAGGATGTATTCATCCATCTTTAGAGATTTTTTAATACTCTTCTTCACTTATGTTCTATTATTTGGGTAATTCCCAAATAATAGAAGAATTGAACATGCTCTTTTTTTTTTTTTTTTGATACTCTTCTTCTGCGTTTGGAAAAGGTCTCGAAAATATTACGGTAATGTTTCATTCGTCGATTATTAGCTTACTTGTATGGAAGTTATTTAGATATGTGTGCAAGTATTTTCTGAAGAGAAATTGACACTTATTTTCTGTATATAAAGGAGTTTGGTTTATCTCCATCACAGCAACTTTTACTGTTTATTAGAGTTTTGTTGGATCCTGTAAGAGATTTAGTACTCTAAATTTTTTTCGCTGATGTGAAGTCGAAAAAAAAGCCCTTCGAATGTGTTAAACGCAATAACTGGACTAGATATATCTAAAATGCACGAAGCATTGCTGGATGCATTGTGGAAGTATATTCTATAGTCATTTGTTTTCCTGATGACGTTATCATGATCTGATCCGTTATGACGAGAAATTCATGTTTTAACTTTTAGTTCACTTTGGATATGGCATCCGGGGGTAGCAGTGAAGAGGCGCAACTAGCACAATGTCAAGCCTATGTGCAACGGCATAACATTCAGCAATTGGTCAAAGAAGCGATTGTTAGCTTGTGTATAAACAAACCTGAAAACCCGATCTTATTTCTCAAGGAACATTTTGAAAAGCTCTATGATCAGCGATCTCAGGCATGTTCTTTGAAATTTCATATTAAAATTTATGGTTTGCGTACCGTGGGGAAAAGAAAGGTTGTTTATTTATGGCAAGTTTTCAATAACTGAGTTGTGAATAGTGTTTTCCTGTTAGCAATCATAAGAGGATAAATTTTAGTCATACTGTGTCTTCGAGATTTTCACTAGCTGGTGTGGAAAGCTGTAAGTTCTTGAGATAAAGTATGCCAGTTACTGGAAGCATCATGAAATTTTTTACTTTCACTGCGGTATGCTATTTCAAAAAATTGCAGTGTCGTACTTGCGGTATTTTTTGGATTGTTTAGAATATTTAGTTGAAAAGAAAAAACATCGATTTAAGTTTCTGCGATTAACTTTTTGAAAGTGCCTTCGTCAGTAGATTACTGGTTCTTTGATTAGCATGGGCTTTTTGGATATCGTTTTTGATAATTTTACGACATTTGGTTTGATTTTCGTTATTTTTCCTTCGTGATGCATTTTTGAGCAATTTTATAACAATTTCTGTTTTATGTATTTCATGATGTGATATCTTCCGGGGACTTTTTGTTTACTTTGCTGAAGAAGTTATGTAAATATACCTCAGAATTTAAATAACCAAATTTTACTTTCGAAATTTTTTAACACGAATATTTGTTTTTCTTTTTGTTCTCAAGAGGATTTCGGATAAAACAGTGCTGTAAAAAAGATGTGGTAACCTGAAGAACTAGTTTCTTATTCCGTGAAGTTGAATAACTTGATCATTTGAATTACTCCAAATATATGATGTTTTATATTATTGAATGATAATTAAACTTTCGGGTTTCTTTTTATCGTATTTTCGAAAATATAAATGGACTTTTTGTGAAATTCACATAAAAGCAAATATTATATGTTTGGTTGTATGTATGCGTGTGGATTTATACTTGTGAGTACATGTCGAAATGAAATATAGTTATTCATGTGAATCATGTTTTAGGTCCTATTAGGTGACTGTAGATTTCCAACTGATAAGATGACAGAAAAAAGAAAGGAGGTTGTTCTCATAATTAAAACGTTCAGTTTTTTTGAAAGGCAGCAAGGATGATTGATGCATTTCATCAAATTGTGTATTTTAAGTATGTATATTTGGTGTATAGTATAGATTGGTGGTACTACAACAATTCTTGTTATTTGAATTCAGATAGATATATGCTAGTTTCTGCCACATGTTATCCATTTTCTCATCGACCTACTCTGCGCTTAGCTCCATTAAATGGAAAATAGAGTTGAAGTGAAAAGAAGAGTGAGAATGTATGTAGTATAGATCGAAGAGGGAGTTTGTGTACTTCGAAAACGATGGAATGGAATTGAGCGGGATGTGACTGGGGAAGAAAACAAAATGCTGCATTGATCGCTGCTGTATACTATGTAGTTGCTGCCACTCCCGTTGCTTTTTGCTACTGCTCTACTCGCAAGCGTTATTTTTGCTGCCGTTAACGACCACTATGAGGGTGCGGGTGCATGCACGTACACACATAGGCAGAGACTGCAGTAGTGACGCCGAAAAACGCACATGAGAGTCGGTCAGTCGGCGCATTTCTGGTTGCCCATATGTGGTTGATGTAGGCATCTTCCAGATTACTAATTTTGAAAATGGGACAGCATTTGAGCTTGAAAAGGCGTCGCAACATGAGCACAGGTGCTGCTACTGCTGCTTCTATTACATCTGCAACCTCTATTACTACCACTGTCGGTACTGCTAATGCTGTTGAGAGCGAGAAACTTAGCTACAAATCTTTTGTGGTACACTTCCTTTTCTTATTTGTCTCACTAATAAAATCCAGAAACATCCAGTAGTTGTTTATGAAAGTGCAAACTGCGTCAATTAAATAATTTTTACGGCACCAAAACTGGATATAGATGGTTATGCTTGCAGGTGTCAAGTCCACGAGCAGAAGCAGCAGACGATGACGACACCATTGATGAACCTCCAAAAATACAACAAGGAAACCGGCGACGCCTTGCAGTTAGCGCAGAGGTTCGTTTTTTACCAACTTTTTGTCAGAGTCTGGTTTAACTAGGACGCAAAGTTTGTATTTTCCGATTTCGAAAGCTGTTTAATACTAAAAATTATTCTGTTTCGGACTTTTATAGGTACCCGATGAAAATGAAGCCGCAAATTATGATAAGGTAGTGATACCTAAAGATGACGAAACTCGGAGGGCACTGGAAGCAGCAATGTGCAGAAATATCCTCTTTTCACATCTTGAAGTTCGTTTATGCATTCGTTGTCCTTTTTCATATATTGAAACTCATTCAAATAATTCCATTCTTTATCTGAGTCCCAAAAAAGATTTGGAGTTTTATTTTTGCGTTATCTTCAAGGAGTGCGTCAGCGATTTTTTAGAACGAGGTAATAGCTCGAAGCGTCAAGCGAGTTTGTTTCACATTTTGATACTTCTCTATGTTTTAAGGATTGAAATCCCATCTTTTTTCACTCAAATTTATCATCTGGGTTATACGTTGAACCATATGAAAAGGGTCATAGTTTTAATCTCAGGCCATTGAAACAAAAAAGAACCACACCATATCTTTCTAATCCTAATTATAATAATAATAGAAAACTAGTTATAATTGGATTATTAGAAAATTATTAGTGTGTTTCTTTTTTGTTTCATTTGTTAAGAAATAGAGTCTGTGAATCTGAATTTTTTCAATCTGGAAATAGCATTTGCACTTACAGAAACCGTAATATTGCAGAACTTAGTGAAACTAAGTTCTCTTCAGGGAGATGAACAAAAAGCTATATTTGATGCCATGTTTCCTGTTGAAAAGAAAAAGGGAGAAACTATCATTGAGCAGGGAGAGGAAGGCGATAATTTCTATGTGATTGATTCCGGTGAAGTAAGTTTTTGTAAACACCTTTTTAAAATAGTTGATTTGACGAGCAGATGCGTCTCGTCGCCTGATTTACTTTTGCAAAATTGAAAAACTTTTATGTAAGGCCTTTGATTCTTTTTTTTCATTTTGAAGCTTTATGAAAACTGAATGGCTTACATTTATGCTGTGTTCGACAATACTTTTTTCAGGTAGATGTATTTGTAAATGGTGAATATGCATTATCTATCAAAGAAGGTGGTAGTTTCGGTGAACTCGCTCTAATTTACGGAACTCCGCGGGCAGCAACGGTAATTGCCAAGTCCGATGTAGTGAAATGTTGGGCGATTGATCGTATTACCTATCGGCAGATCCTCATGGGATCCACAATGCGAAAGAGGAAGCTATATGATGAATTTCTGTCGAAAGTACAAATACTATGTAAATCGTTTCTGTTTACTTTGCTCTTGCTGCTATGTGGATAAGCTGACAGCCTAATTACATGTTATACAGAGTTCTTTCAAAGTCAAGACTTTAGGAGATCTGTTGGAATTTCAATTTGACTTACTCTCCAATAATCTTTTTAGGCTATTGCCTCATTTATTTCGCAGCCTCGTGACTTCGACATTTTGTGATTGTTTTAAAAACTTTGTATTTACCCTCTATTAATGTTTAGCTGATCTCGACAAATGGGAGCGAGCGAATGTTGCTGATGCTTTAGAGAGATGCGATTTCGATCCAGGAACGCGTGTTGTTGAACAGGTTTGCTTCGCAGTTTTTTTTTTGAACCATAAATTACTATCTTTTTTTGTTTAGAACATCTCAGTAACCTTTTAAGGTATAAAATTTACTTTTAGAACAAATTAATGTTATAAATTTAACATCTATAGTATCGTACGTTGCTTGCTTCAAGTTTGAGTTGTTTTTCCGAGGTGATAGCATTTCTATATTTATTTAAAACAAGAGAGTTAGAAGATGGTTATTTTCGCGCTAATTTTCACTTGGATTTCGCAGATTGACGAACTTTTGTTTTAAAAATTAAGGGACATCCTGGTGATGAATTCTTCATCATTGTGGAAGGACAGGCAGATGTGTTGCAGAAGCGAAGTGACGATGCACCTTTTGAAATCGTCGGACATTTGTCTTCATCAGATTATTTTGGTAAATTTTTAAAATTTGCTCGGTCCCGTAAGTTTCCAGACTGAGACTGATAGTGAAAGTTTCAAGGAGGAGCAGAGAAAAGGACAGATTTCAAATACTGATGCTTTATTAATATTTGTTCGAGATTTAAACGCTTGATTGTTTAATTTTGAAGCTTTGCTTTCCTTTTTTCAGGAGAGATAGCGCTCCTTTTAGATCGACCTCGAGCTGCAACCGTAATTGCAAAAACACCTTTGAAATGTGTAAAATTAGATCGAGCACGATTTGAACGTGTAATGGGACCAGTGCGTGAAATCTTGAAAAGGGATGTGTCAAATTATAATTCGTATGTCAAGCTGATGACATGAACATCCATTTAGTTGCAGGTCATATAATTTCAGCAACATTTTCATTTTTACTAGATATATTTGCATGTTTTAAAAATATCTGGTAATACTTGCTGTGAGTGTGTATTCGAAATTTTCGCGAACTTTAATTGATGAATCAGAAATATTTTTCTGCATTAAAGCATTAAATTTTGTCGTTTTACCGCATATTTTATGTTCTACCATACATCCTTCCCTTAGTATGTTTTTCGACTAGAGTTTAAACATCCATTTCAGGTCGCGTAATTTCAACAACTCTGAAGCTTTAGAGGGGTTAGAAGATCAGATGTAGAATAAAAGTAGCAAGTAAGCGGGATTAACTTACTAAGTGCTTAAACAGTGTACTTTTGCAATAACTTTGGTCGCCAGGTGTTTTTTTCAACTTAGTTTTTTTTTTTCATCACTGAGTTCGTAATGAGCTGTTGGCCCATGATTTTAAGAGAAAATTAAAGGGATTTCATCACTTTGTTGTCTTTTATAGTAATTGTATTTCTCAGGCCGGTTTGCTCCAAAATTTTTGAAGTGTGGTAGTTATTTTGGTTGTAGTGTATTCTTGTCTTTTCTTTTGTTACCTGCAAATACCCGGTCGAGTGTACAAAAACTAATGTTTCAGTAGGGTGTTATTGAATGACTGACTATCATTACTATTTAATTTTTGCTAAATTTCATTTTGTTGTATAGTTTTTCCGCCATTTCCAGTTCCTTTCTGCGATATTTCTGTATCACTATTTTTCCATTCAATACTTTCCTTTTTTCAGTGTTTCAGTTATGATTATTTCAGTAGCGCCAGTCTAGTTTTTTTTTTTTGGGGTAGAGCTCATACCCATAAAGCAATATATATAATATATATATTGCCATTTCCTTGATCGCTCTATAAATGGTCAAGGTCTGGAATTCAGTTGCTTTGACTCGGCTACATTTTCATGCATCCTCTTCTTTCCAACTAAGGCATATAAATACAACAGTGTCTAACGATGGACGACGATGTATTTACAGCACATTAAATAATCAACAAGCATATTGACTTGGCCGCATAATAACGAGTTTTTTTCTTCAAACAGCTGCTTCATTACCCTTTTGCAAAGCTGCCAAGACACTGTCGCGACGCCTCACAAATAGACGGCCGTCATCCCAAGGATTCTGCAATTTCATGGGTGGGAAGTTGTCTCGTAGCCTGCGTTCTCTGGAACCAACAACTACTGCCAAGCAAAAATCTTCTGGGTCCTTGGATTCGACTGATTTTCCAGATTCTGCAGCTGCTTTGGCTAATTGTTCAATGACCAAAGCAACAATTTCGCTAGCTGTGGTTGCTGATGCTATCTGAAGGCGAACTGAAGTGCCAGAAGTAAGGCCGCACTGATAGGCGGCATAAACTTTAATCACTCTTGTGGTTGGAATCTTTTTTGGCTGAAAGCAGTTGTTGAGCCAAGGTTTAGTCAGCGAGTTGACTTTTTGTGGTAGCATATTATAGAGATCAAGATATAATGCACTTGAATCCATTGAGTCCTGCAGTTCATAAAACGACTTTAATATTAACTACCAGAATACGTAAGTCTTTGTATTCAGCGTCAGTATACCACCATATCCTTACAGTGATCTCAAAGAGGATGAAGGGGAAACTCACACTTCTCGTACCTTGTTCACCGTCGCAATCTGTGTCATTTATTCCATTACTGACTGCAAGCAAACTTTTCATTGGTACTACACCTTTGGCTTGTTTATCTCGCGCAACAGAAGCAACATCACCAACCCACTTCACCGATTTCCACAGATTTTCTAATCTGAAACGCAAAATCGAGACATTAGAAGTATGTCGAATAGAAGCAGCTAGGTTTTCATAAGGAAATCAACTTCTAACGCTTTTCTTTCAAATCAAGGGCTATACCTTTGTTGAAACTCGTCCAGCTTTGAAAGTACATCAGCGTAAACATTAAAGTCATTCTCCAGCAGGCTATTTCTTTGCTCATATTGTATGTACTAAAAGTATGCTTTACTGAATCATTGTAAAAGAAACGGATAAACACTATATCCAAGAGTATTAAAACTTTATGGTCTCTCCAAAACATTTTACACTTACCGTTGAGAAATGTTCGATAAAAAGTGAGAGGCGACAATAGGTACCAATGAAATCGGGGTTGTATGTACATAGATGAACTGAAATTTTTAGCATATTTTCACAGACATATTCTAAGAAATTCTAAGAAAAGTACAGGCTATGTTTTTGAAAAGTCGTATGAACTCAAGTTGTGATACAAAGATCTTATTTAATTCGCCACAGCTGGCAAGATTAAACCAGCAAAATTCAAAGCAAAACCTATAAATTTGAATAAACCTTGCAAATCTGACATTTCGTAGTTTATCAGATTAATTGTTGCCCTCTATTAATAAAAACAGAACCGCGAAATGAGTTCAGTTAGACTCACTAGTTGAAAAATCATAGAACATGACACACTTACTCGCTTCAAAAACTTGGAGTGGAAGTGTGAGACAACCTTTCTGTACGGGCAACGATTTTAATGAATAACTTGGCGCGGTACAGACATCTTCAATTTTTGGTAAAAGCTATAAAGAAATTCGTTTTAAAACGAATTATTTCATCTTTCTATTAATTATGATCACATTCTATAAATGATCACAGTTTTTCGAAACTTGAAGTACTATCTTGGGAGTATCATAGAAGAGTAAAATATGACCATAATAAAAGAATAATGTGTTGAAATATTTAATAGCTATTCATTCTTTCAAAAAAGAAAGATCACGAGAGAGAAGTCGAACAAGTATGAAGCCCAGACTAATTAGAGCAAAATTGACTCATTGTAACCTTACAAAACTTCTGGATAAAAAGTATTATTTGGTGGCAGTACAATCAACAATTATTAGAATTTAGCATACATGTCGTGGGGATGGAACGAATTCTTTTTTTAGTCGAAATTAGATATAACTTACAATTATGAAGGAAACATCGAATTGTAATTGAAAAACTTGCAAACAATAGATACGTTGATTTGATATGAGATTAATGTCAATCTGGAGATCATCAAGTAAACGAGATGCCGCACTAACAAGGGCAGTGTGAAAAATAAATTGCACCGGTGTTAGTGGATTTGAAGTGTTAATATCCACGGATCGTAACAAATCCCATTCTTCTTTTGTTATATGTGGATTCTCTCTGCAAAATTATTTTGACAATACACGAACTAAACGATACGCACTCTAATTTCAAACATTTGTCATATTGTATTCGTTATCTTAACTCAGTTATCTTAGTAATAATTAATTTAAAATCTTCTGCAATGAAGTTAACACCTTCGAGGTCTTTGACTTTTAAATTACATTATCCTCCTTTAAACGTAACTAAATGCTGCTGTTGTCAATTTTCAAACTTGAAAATTTCGTGCATAAGAATAAAAAGTGTGCAGGAGGGAAAGCAACTTCAATTTTTTATTATTTCAAAAATGTCGGGTTCTAAGCTAAGAAGATAATTAATTAACTATCACTCAAAATTTTAGTAAAACTCTTATATTATCATCATATTCAATGCTCGATAAAAACTATTCAACTCCAACTTTCCATTTGACATCTCCACCCCAGCAGGCTTAAATCTTACAACACCAAAATTTTTCAAAACTCCCTAACGTTTGAAAGTTTTAATTTGCTTTCTTCTCTTTTTTCCAGTTCAAGCGTTAATCCTCCAGTAATATTGAAGAAATGGATAAATCAGCAAATGAGAAACTTTAGAAAGCAGAAAATCAAGATTTTAGTTTGCTAGGATGAAAAGATATCTAAGCAGCAGGAAAAAAATGTAGATAAGTAAATGAAAAAAAAATGAAAAGTTATCTTATTAAAGCATATGGAAGAATAGATGGTATATTCTGAGAGACGAGAACGCTTATGGAATTAATGGATGAATATAGTTTCATGTAACATAGGTACAATCCTTTTCGTAATCGCATATGTGAGGACTCGAAAAAACTGATGATCCTAAAAATTTCTGCCCACAACATATCCATCGCCTGACAAGCTCCTCGTTTGCGAACCATTTTGTTCAGAGGTAACCATCGTGTTCTCAGGCCCTATAAATTGCTTCATTTCTGATTAAAAATTTTCATGTAGTACATCAAATATGAACGTGATCAAGTGCAATCAGGCATTTATTACTGATGTATAATGTCTCACAAAATCCGACTTAAATGCCTCATTGCACAGTGTATCAGGAAAATTAAAAGGAGTGATTAAAGATTAGAATCAAAACTTCCTTCACGAAGCGAATGAACAAGTGGTTCTTTATGCGATCTTGCTATTCATAAGTGTTTCAGTGAATAATTCGTATATTTTCTATTTATTTCTTCAGCAAGAAATAAAAATAAATAATTCTACTGAAGATTAAACTACAGTGTATTAGAAAGTCTGAGATTGCTCGGAAGGAAAGAGAAACGGCTAATTCTATCAAATTTAATAAAAGAAATACAAAGATACTTGAGCGGTTTGTGATCCGTTTACAAAACGAACTGTAACAATAAAAGAAATCGAATTTACTTCGTCTACAATCGGCTGATAATGCACTCTAAAAAAATAAGACATTTACAGTCTTTCAAAATTACAATCTGCAAGTCAACTTGCAGACAACATTCACATTTTAATTTATATGCAAATAATAACCTTCCAATATCTTTCACTCCAAGAGCCATATGCATTTCGATTGCAGCATCGATAAATCTACTACGAAAATGAGAATTTGAAAAACTTGAATTGTTTATTTCCTGTAAAGTCTGCATTTCATTCCAGGATAATGAGAGTTTTATAGCCCAGTACATTTCATCCTGAAAAAAAGACACATTCAGCTGGAAAATATTTGCAGTTTCAAACTTACTTCTTTTTCACAATTATTAAAGGAATCTGGGACTTTGACAACATTCACGAAATTAAAATTCAAACTTACTTTCTCGATGCAAAATTGCGTCTGATCAATAAGAATAACCGGAAGATAATCTTCAACAGTACATACTTTCATTTCTGAGTAAATGACACTTACTAAATAAATACCCCTGCAAGGCATTGAATATATAATACACGACTTGCAAAGTCAGATTTATGACTCACTTGAAAAATTCATATTTGAAACCGAAGCTAAGACAACACGGTGCTTCTCTGCAAAGTGTCAAAAAGAAATTTCAGCTACTACGTCTTTGCAAACCTATATATGCATATACTCTATATCAACAATCATTTGATATATAAAAATTCAATCTCAAAAACACCTTTGAACAACTTTAAGAGACCGGAAACCGCTAGCAAAGAGACTTTTTATACTTCCTTTTCTTTTCTTGTCCATTATTTCGCTTGATTTGGGAAATACTGTAAATTATCTTTGATTTTAGGTCAAATATAAAATTAAATTTTCCGATATAATTATAATTAGATCAGAAGATTTGATCTTCCGAAAAAAACTAAATTCAAACTCAAACTTAATTGCACTCACACGTTTGCCAAACTGGAGATGAACGATATTTTTCGACATCCAGAAGAAGTTGCGAAATATCATCTAAGCAATATTGTCGCTTTAAGCTGTTTGGTACGTCCTCCCAACATAAAATTAAAATTTAGTCAATTTAGTGAAAAAATATTGTTACTTTAGAAACATGGATTAGCTAAAGACTTGAAATTCAAACAAGTTTTCAATGCATGGTAAAAAAAACAGATCCTCTCAAATTTGTCATTAACATTCTATAAACTACTTGAAAGCAATAGCGATTGAGGCGTTGCTAAAGCCGGGTGGCCAAAGCCTCTAATAGATCCGGCACTAACGCGCACAGAATATCGTAATCCACGTTTTAATTCAGATATTACTGCATAGTTCTTTATCATAGTATCCATAAGTAAGCTTCCTTCGATAGTGTTGAAATCATCGCACAAGCTCCATTCAACTAAATTTTTTTGAATTCTATAAAATCTCACAATTAATTTGATATTTAATTTTCTTATTGCAAAAATTTCCAATACAAACCCTTGTAGTTTATAACAAGATCCACATTACGTTGGCGAACGTCTTCCCAGCTTACTGTTAGCTGATCTGATGCTGAAACAACTGTCTCAACGTTGGTTAGTAATCCAGGAACAGTAGTATTTTCCAAAACATTCTTCATTTTTTTCATTTGTAATAGACGTTTCTCCAAATACTTCATTTGTTTATCCTGCAAATCCTGAATTAATTGTTTCTGCATAACCAAAAATAATTAAAAACTGTATTATGGAGAAAATTTTTGCTCAAATAATTGCGTTTCCCAGGTATTATTTTATTTCGAAGAATTGAGGTTCAAATAGAGAATTTTCGTAAATTTGATCCAATATAGAAAATACACATGACAATTTGCTCACTTCATTTCGAATGATGGTGGTCCTCAAAAACTGAATTTCCTCAGTAATAAGTTCGATATTTTCTTGAATTTGTTGCAGACGGCGTTCTAACGGAGAAGCTTAAAAATTTTAATCCCAATGACAGAAGAATTCCAAACTAAATTCTATTGATTTAATTCCTTTTATTCTGCAGAGTCAATCCTTTTAAATTGGGCAATATTTGGAATCGAATCTAATTTTGTTTTGAATAACGAATTGTTAAGTCTCAAACTTTTGAAAATTTATATTTAAAAAGCATTGCTATTTAAAATATTCAAAAAGGAAAAAGGGAAGTGGAGTACACGATGATACCCACATTCAACATCAATAGTAGCTCCATTTTGCAGTAATACTTCAGCACACTGTTGGTAACCGAGCATTAGGGCAAATTCAAGCAATGTCCATTTTTCTAGGTAAGTTTCGTCGATCCGAGCGTCAAATGATATGTTTATTTTGGACAATATCATCCTTAGCATATCATCGTCATTTGTCTCAATAGCTAACAGCGCTCCTAAAGTTTGTTGTAACCTCAGTGTTTTCAAGAAACAGGATAAAAGAAAATCTGGAAATAACAGATTTATTCTAATAAAATTGAACGCAAGGAATGAGCTAAAATTCATACCACTGGAATTGAGCACATTCATTTTCAATTTTCGTTGTAAAATTCTGTAATATCTACTTCAATCATTTGAATTTTCGCTTTCACATCGCTGAATAGCAATTATCTAGAAATATATGTTGCATGAAATTAAAAACTGAAAATCATCATTCATAGGTAGTCAGAGATATGGAAGATATTGGAAATGGTTTCTGAAGCAATTCAAGCAAATGATCAAAATCTGAGATGTTTCAGATCTACTGCTCATTTTATTGACAACAACGGCGCTATGGAGATACTGGAAATTGAAGAACTACGATAAAACATTAATGTAAAGAGAAATATAATTGTGTGGGGTTGATGGTTGAAAATCAAGTTGTGTTTAAGTGAACACAAACAACGAAGACAGGTGAAGGTTTGCAATGACAAGGGGACAGTTGAAAAATGATAATTTCAAGAGTCTTAGTGGTCGCACGAATTAAATCACCCAATTACGAAGAGATTGTTACATAAAAGTTTTTAATCTCTTCGAAGAAAGATAGGCAACTGATGACATGAAAGGAGTGGCGATGAAATAATAATCACTAAAAAGTATTACAGATATGATTTTATACAAAAATCGAACACCTACGAAAGGAAGAATATCATTCTGGTGCTTTGCGTATGGTCATTATGCATACAATTAATGTTTTTTATATCTAAAATATAGATTTTTCTCCAAGTTTCAATAAGTTTCAGTTTTATTTCTAGTGTTATCAACGAAAGTTAGCTTCAGCAAAACGGATTAGAACCATTTCGGAAGATGTGCATGTCATAAAAAAAGAACTTAGTTTGATTAAAAGAAACTTCCAAAAATTTGGACAACTACAAGTCTAAAGACTATTTCACTATTATATGGTATAATTAATTCAATTAAAATGCAATCTTCTATTTGGCGAAATTAGATACTGTCTAACGATTAATAAAATTCAACAAATTTGACATCGGTTATAATGGATGATAAAATTCATGAGTTTAGGTGTATTTACTACCAATTAAAATTCCATTAGTTTGTAAATGCAATGAACCTACCTAATTCTATGAATTACCGTTCAAAAGATTGCTTTTAAGGATATGAGCTTCCGATTCTTCTATTGTGAACATAATGCGTGTAGTTCTGTTCTCTCCCGTAAGTATGTAGAGATAACTCAAAAAACCTGAAAAAAACTCTTTGAAAAGTGGCATATTAGCATTGTTGTACATTAGTAAATTGAGAGGTGTATGCCGTCCGATCAGTAATTTCAAGGTCATTGAACTAACAATTCAGTTCATTCTACTCCTCACCAGCAGATAGTGTACCGGTGTAATACTGATTGCTATATGCATACTCTCATCTATTGATTCTTACATTCTTCTGGTAAATTGTATCAAGATATCACGAGCAATCAGGTTGCAAAAAATCAATTTCTTTAATCTTTCAATTTTAGCTTCTTTCTGTAGCACATGCAAATTTCGACAAGCTTTATTTTAATTGAAATTTGAAGAGATGGAAAACCTGAAACCTAGAAACATCGCTATGTATGGACAGGATCAGGTAATGCTAATTATAATATGATTTTCAATGTTTTCAAATTGCTACTGGGTATTTAGCCAATCGTTTAACCTATATTTCACTCTATTCTTTCTCCCTTCTTAATCACTTCAGTGGTATTTCTAAAGATTAGGAGTATTCCCAAGTTTGAAACAAACGGGAATATGCATGTTAATGGTGATAGGACCACTTATTTGTACTCGTTATAAGTAAAAGGTATTTTTTCTTCTCAATATTAATATATTATAACATTTCCATGAACTTCGAGCGCTGTGAGTTTCATTATGACATAATTCATTTGTACGTGGTGATCTTGTTAGATACACTAACTCTGTGCACTTAACGTCACATTTTAAGAATGAGAAGAGATATGTCAAATTGCAGAAATAAAAAGAATGAATGAAACAGGAACAGACAAAGAGCTCCAACAGAAACTGCAAAATCTATAGAGAAATGAATAAAGTCATGGCAGAAGAGCATTGAAAAAATTTATTTCCAACACCTTATAACTAGGCTTATTAACTTCACTCAAAGGAAGTTGTTTAATTACATGTAAATAGAAATACTTTAACAGATTTCAACTTTTATAATAAGAAATAGGGGAAAGGTTAGTACTCAACCGGTTGAAATACCACAACAACTGGTGTCAATTTAACAAACTTTAAATTAGAAGCTACAATTCCATTCTTAAGTAAGAATAAAATTACAGTTTACAATGAAATTACAGCTTAAATAGTTTTCATAGATGAGGAAGAAAACAATAACAATAACTACGTCAGCATAAAATTCAAAAATGTTTTAAAACTAATAGTAAAAGAACGACTTAATCCTAAGCAAACAGGTAACAAAAATATAAGAGTAGAACATTTAGAAGAAGGAAAGTATATATCAGTTATACTCGAACTTATCCTCATTCTTTATCTCTATGCAGACATATACATACAAATCAAATAGAAAGTATCGATGTGCAGGCCAGATAGTCCGGTCGATCTACCTTCATTTCATCAACAATTGCCGCACTGCATCAGCTCTTCCTTTCCCAGTATGGGCACTCTCTTTCAAGAAGGATCCATCCCATTCCTAATGGTGACGGCATATTCCCCGAGTTTTAGTGTCACCGTTCAACACTTCTCAACATGTTAGCATATTCGGAACGAAAACTAATAAGAATCAAGTAACGAATAAGTAATAACAAGCACTTCTTGTGCTAAGGTAAGTTGACAAGTTGAATTTGCTTATTTCATGCCAGGTATTCTGAAATTGACCCGTTCAACTTTTTTTTAAACATTAGGATTCAAATGGTATGATTTTTTTCAAAAACTTATGGCATAAGCACCCCGAAAATACTCGATGTGTAGAATATATTAGAATCATATACAAAAGGCATATCCTTTCGAAAACCTAAACAACAAAACGACCTTGAAACGGATTTGGAAGAAATAATTTATAAAACAATGAAAAATATGCACACAATTTATTAAATTAGTTTTATAATATCATCTTCAATTTTGAAAGAGTAAAAGAAAATAACAATTTAAATAAAACAAGTAGGAAGGATGATGAATATGATGTTTTGACAATAAGAATGCAACAAAACGATGTGGAGATGAAAAAATAGTTGAATTGAATTCCTATAGAATATCGTATCAACATTTGGGAGTTTCCATCGATGGCGCAGCATAACATGCATCTAGGTAGCAATGAGCTAAATCACTGATAAGTTGTTTATCTGGAATAGTTGCTGTGAGACCATATATAGCAGCCTGTAAGGTCGAAACTAATTTTCATTTTCCATTTAACTTTCAAAGAAGTCACAAGTAGATACAATGTGATCCCGTCCTAAATTCTCAGGATAAATTTCTTCAAATATGGCTCAAATGAGTACAGAAAGGAAGAAAAAAAGTAGGATTCGAAGACTATTCAAAACGTGGCAAATATTCAAAAGAAGATCATCCATATCCTTATGTCCTGTCATAAATAATTAAAAACAATGTCGTTGTTTCTGAGTCAATAAAATAATTTAGTAACAATTTTCTTTCTTGAAAAATACCATATTTGAATGTTTTTCTCTCTCTGGATCATTCATCAGAGTAAAAGCAACTTTTTGTAAATCATCTGTGAACGCTTGCCATGCATCAGCAAGTGCCGTATTATAGGTAACACAAATGTGTGCCCTGAAATAAAAAGGCTTTAGCTAATAAAATGCACTTCCTCTTGAATTTATTCATTTCAAAACATTACAAATCAGTATTGTTGTTTCGTTATCAGAAAAGCTTAATTTATTTTTCCCGACGATTTCTGACTCATAATGCAAGGCATTTTTAAAGAACATACCCAGGAGGATTTTGGATAGAATTTAAATTCCACCCAAGAGTAGACATATCATCCACAAGAGCGTAAATATTGAAAACATCACTAGTAAATGCTACAACAGATACGTCAGGCGAACCAAGAAGACGAAGACCATCAATATCATTCTAAAAGAACAAAGAACCACTTTGCTTATTTGAATTGCCCTACAGAATTCATAACTGTCGATTTCTAAAGATAAAGATATTTTGGATATCTAGAAATTCGAATTTTTCAAGCAAACTAAGATCTTGAAAATTAGTGCGTTTTGTATGAAATGTCGAACAATTCAAAGTGAATGGCATTTCATGATCCATTAAAAAGACACTTGCTTAAAAAAGACGTTCTAGGAATTTCGATCTGGTACCACGAATTGGTTGTTCCAGAAATTGTCTACTCCTGAAAAATTACCGTAATGGCGGAACTAATTCGGCGAGCACACTGAATGATTTCCTTTGTTCGCTGAACATAACCAGAACGTCCAAAAGAAAGCAAAGTAGCCCAAGCTAACGATATTGCCAGACCAGAACGACTTCCTAAATGTTATCACTTTAATATCGTCCCTTTATAACACAATAGCATGCTTAACAAATAATTTTAACTAATTACTTCTTTGTCCAAAACGAAAGCCTTGCGCTAACAGCTGCCTAAAAAGTTCCAAAATTCATTGAGATTTTATCAAATATAGAAACATCTACTTTTATCAAACACTTGTCCCTTTATAACACTGCAAAGGAATGAAATGTTTAATCCCTTAAATACTATAGTTAATTAAAAAAAAAAACACCTGCAAAAGTTGGTGTAGCATATATACCTCCAGTCCACTCAGGAACGCACATGTATTGATGGTGCAAATATTTTCGTTCCCGATAAAGTATAACTGAGGATCCTTTTGGAGCATAGCCATACTGAAATAGATTTCGACTTATAAAGTTGTAATATAGGAATAAATGAAATTTTCTCCGTTTTCTGAGAGCAGGTTAGGATTGTAATGCTTTCAATGAGCCCAAAAAAAAAAAAAAACCAAACCTTGTGTGTATCACATGATATTGATGTAACGCCAAACACACGAAAATCAAATGGTGGTAACGGATAGCCACATTCTTCCATAAAAGCTATTAAGAAACCACCCAAACATGCATCAACATGTACAGGAATATCATATCTTTGCCCAAGCTGAAAAAAAAGACTTCTTTTCATTTGAAGTCATGAATATGTGTTATATAAAGGAAGAAAAAGGTGATGATTTTTGAATTCACAAAACTTCTCAAATGTTTCTCCAAAATTTAAAACTTCCAGAGAATAGAAATACTCAAATAACTTTGGGCACTTTTGGATATCTAAACATTTTCGTATAATTAAATATACTTGTGCGATTTGTTCAATGTCATCCATTGTGCCAGTTGGAAAGTTTGGTGCTGACCCAACCAGCTGCAAAGTGAAAAAGAGATAAAGAACTCATATCATTAAAATATATGACATAAATCCCGTAAATTCAAAAACTGAAGAAAAAGTTTTTGAAGATGTCCAATAATGTCTTTCGATCAAACTTACGACACAAGTGTCCCTGGATATAGCTCGTCTCATTTTATCTATATCAACTTTTTGATTATTTCCAACAGGTACATGTCGTATTCGCATACCAAACAAGTGTGATGCCTGAAAATAACATGATACTAAAGAATTTTACAGTTTTTAAAAAAAAGTAAAAATTTGCGATTGTAATATTCGCTCTTGAGTACCAATAACTACGAGGAAAATTAACCTTGTCGAATGCTGCGTGTGCAGTAACCGGAACTAATATTTCTGGTTCCGATATACCTTTAAAATTTGCATAGTTACGATACGAAAGCATTGCCAACAAAATTGATTCAGTGCCACCAGATGTTACCTATAATGACAGCAAAGTACCAAATCATCTTTCAGACTAAAAATTTGCATATGAAACTCTAATTTTTCCAGAAATTCAATATATATATACATATATAAATACTGAATTTCTGGAAAAATTATATATATATATATTGACTTTCCGAAACTTTAATAAACAAGTTTGTTTATGCATACCGTTCCACAACACTTCAATCCTCCATGAAATAAGTTTGCAACAATATGAACAACCTCAGCTTCCATTTTCCGACATCCGGGAAAAATGTCTGGATGAAGTGGATTTGCAAATGCGTAAATATCAAACATCTGTAAGAATAACTTTGTTAACAATCTTAACATATAGTAGATTTCTTCTTTCATCACGTCTTTAAATTTTAAAAATTATATTTTCAAAAGTAATCATCCAAAATAAAATTTTGGATGATTACTTTTGAAAGTAGATCGCTTCGTTCATTGTTCTGGTCGGTGTATACGGCTCCACTCACTTTGCCGGCGACGACGTCCACCTCTGTCATTGCGTTATATTGCTCTGAAAGATGGCTTTAATAATTTTTTTGGTATATCCAAAAAATATTCATAACAAAACTTTCAGGAAACCAACCTGCTATATTAATAATTTTTGCATTATCCATGCCACTTTCAGGAAGCATCCGAAAAAAGAGACCAGTATTATCACATTTATGGATTTCGCCGAAAATTTTCTGCCGAGTATAACCTAGTTCTTTTTCAAGCTTTTTTCGTATGGGAGATAATGAACAAATTACGGAAAATGCTTTACTGAGAAGCCTGAAATGCAGGAAAGTTTGTCTGCCTCATCTAGTACTAAGGAAAATCTTTTCAAAACTAATGGCAGATACAAATAGTTTCGGCATTCGAACAAAAATCAAGGAATAAATATAAGTTTTTTCCAAAATCCTCGCTTTAATAAAAGTCAAGACAAAAAAGCCATATTTTAATTCGATAATTATATAATTGAAGTTTTAGCTAAGTAGCTAAGTCTAAGTTCATTTCATAAGCAAAACATCACGAATTCTCAAGTTTACCGTGAATACATTGGTTGCTCCGATGCACGCCACATACGTCGAACACGCTGCAGAAAAATGACACTAGCAGCAGTTGCTATGATTAACTTCCACGGCTTTATTTCACATAATGTCTGGTCTACGGAAGCAACGGCACTTTTTATCGCTATTATTCCCTCATTAAAAACAATTCCACCTGACTTATGCATTCTGAATTGACTGATGAAGGTGATTATGATGACAACATTCATCGAGAATTCGAAACGTTTATTATACTGTCTCTTAATTCAACTACGACGAATAAATTGTATAGTTTTTACGGAAATAATTAATTAATGAATATTTCAAGAACTGCTGTCTTCCACACTTCGACAATTTCCTTCCCAGCAATGCCCAACGCCTCACTTGAAGAAATTCAATAGATTCAAAAAACGAATGTAAGGGGGAAATTACAGAACAATAAAATATAACCCACATCGACAATGGTAATGACATTGAAGAAATGCTGACTTTAATGATTCCTTTTAGAGAGCAATGAAAAGTGAGCCAAATTAAAGAAAAAAACGCTTAGCACTGTCAACAATACTTCCTATAAATAAACACTTTTTTGCATCACAATGTTGTCGTTTTATATCACAATGTCATAAAAATTTTTAGGTTCTGATTTGGAAACTGTTTCTAAATTAACCAATATATATGAGATTAGAAATCCAATAGAGTTGTTCAAATTTTCGAGCTGTCAAAAGATTAAATTTATTATTACATAGATAAATAATTATTTAAGCAATAGACGCTTCGAAAAGTGTTCCCATGATCATGAAAAAAATTAGTTGGATGAAATCGTGACAAATTTTCCTTGCACCTTTCATTAGCTAGGCCAATATGTGATTATTGATTCTTTGATAATTGATATTACTTATTTGACAAGGTAAAGTGTGTGGTAATTAAATGAAACTATTTTTCACCGTTTATGGAAAACATGTAGTAAAAATAAATAAAAAATGCTATCTTGAAATTATCTTGAAATTAGATTTTAAACAGTAGCTAAGATAACTCCGTGAAAATTTAGAATCATTTTGACGTTTGGAAAAACTAATCTCAACGAATTAGAATAGCGAAGATAATCTAATTGAGAACGATGAAAACTTAATTTTATTCCAGCACTTTGAAAATATTTCACATTAATGTCGCCGTATTATTTGCCAGATCCAAAAGTACAAAAAGGAACAGAACATACTTTGTTAGAATATTCAATTCTTTCCTGAACAAATACTGAAGTAGTTTCAAGAAAAAAATATTAATGCTAATTTAAATTTTCATGCGCTAATATTGCTGCTTGATGTTAAAAAACTTACCAGTGTACCATCCCTATTATTTACATCATGTACCAAATCTTCAAATCATCACATTTCAAATATTTCTTTTATAGATCTGTGATGTTTCTATGAATTTATGCAATATCATCAAGTAGAGAAGAGAATACAAAATTTTCTAATGAATGCATCAAAAAAGTGACAATTGAACAGTATTTACGACTATGATCATCAAAAAATTGCGACGACATTATGAGATGAAATTTGCTGTAAATCAGAACTTTCGTCGGTAGATTTTTGAACAGGGCAAAATATTAAAATTCATTAATCAGAACAAAATTTTGTCTTTAGCTTTAACTGAGAGTAAAAACTCACCATTTTTTTTATAAAAATTCGTTCTTAAAAGCATCAAATTTTAAGTGATGATCAAAGGACGAATTCACTCATGACAACGAAATTTGATTGACAGCGCACTTTGACCTCCTAAGCAATTTTCAGAAATTATTTTTCTCACAGCATCTCAAGGGAGCTGATTCAACTTGAAAAAGTAGTAACATAGTGACAACGAAAGTAATGGTAGCATTATAGCATGATTGTGGTAGTGATAGCTTGTATAAAAAGTTCGCATGAAAAAATGAGATGGAATTAGAGAAATTAAAGTCAGAAATTTATCTGTCGGGTAAAACGATATATTTGGGTCACGTCGTTGACCTAGAACAAGCCACTTATATAATTCAACAAAAATCCAATCAAAAAGGAACATCCCGATCATTCTTCATTCCCACTCCAATCCCGCAAAACAACTTCGATCGAACCCATCTCTTCCCTTTCTCTCTTTTCTACTCTTCGCCTTTCTTTCACAATTATCCTATTGTTCACTCATTTTTTTCCAAGAATTGTCAGAAAATTGCCGAAATTTTAGGTCATCAATAAACTTTCTCCAAAATTAATAACTGTTATTGAATTTCATATCAGTTTTCCATAAAAATTAGAAATTTTCCTAACCTCAAATTTCAAACTCAAACGAATACTCAAGGTTACAGAAATTAAATATCAAAAACATTCCGTCCCACCCATACAATTGCATAATACTTTCTACGAGCTTCAGGTGCCGTATTACTTTATTATTTTCTCTGCCAGAAAAAACCTATTTGTGGTGTAGACCTTGGTGTAAAGCGAATCTGTCATGTCTAAACGGTGGTTCATCAGATTAACAGGTATTTATTACTTACCTTTTAAATAAATTATCTGACAACAATCTGACACTGAATTTTTGCTTTTATAATACTAACGTTTCAGTTGCTACTATCGTGCTTTTCACAAAGATTGGTTCAGATCCGATAGTAAAACCTCCTCAAATGGTATGTATAACAATTTATTAAATCTAACTTCATGGACTAAATCCATGCAAAAACATTAATAAAATTAAATTAAGTGAAAAGATCCAACAGCACCGTTATATAGCTTCCTGAACATTCATTCCTATTATTCGTTCTTCAAATATTCTTCATAACGAATTGGAGCAAACAGTAAAAAATATTGCCACGTCAGTAAACTACGTCTTTCAGCATTACATATTTCTAAACACCTTCTGAAATATTTGAAATTCCTGGCCAAGCCACCCTGAATCCGTGTAAGAAACATGACCCAGAATTTTTTGCAAAAATTAAAACCATCGTTTAGAGAACATATTGATATAAATCTTATCGAAGAATTTGACATAGAAATCCTCAAAAACTTAATTTATCAAATCGGTTCTCTATAAATCGAAAATTTTGGTTTTTTAAAGTTCTAACCTGAGCCTAACTAATAATAATAATAACAAAGAGGAATTTTAATATAAAACTAAAAATTGATTCATTTGTAAATCAATTTCCAATCCTACGTGAACAACAGGAAAATAAAATTACAACAGTGAACAAGTCATATGCAATGATTCTATTAAATCTGAAAAGAAAGATTAAGTCAATTTCTTAATTTCCAGTTTATTTCTCGATTTTTTCAAAACTACGGTACTTCCTGGATTGCTGGTCCTGAAGGGTATCATTATCAATTTCATCTCAGTGAACAATCCTGGAATATGGCTCGAGAATACTGTCTTGCCTTAGCTTCTGACCTCGTTGTCATCAGCAGTTTGCAACAAATGGTATGTTTTCTTTTACTATTCTAAAACTATAGTAGAAAATATGAGGACTGAACAAAAGCTGCCATATTAGATAATAATTAAAGGAAAGAAGACAACCAGGAACTGTGTAAGAATGTGGTATGGCTAACATGGTTGATCATCTCGATGTTGATTTATCATGTTTTGAAATAGTTTGTTAAAACTCCAGAACTAACCTGACATAATTTTTTGAAAACTAAAAGATTTTCATTTAAGAATTGGCTGATATCACATTATCCACTCAGTAATTTAATAATGCCTGAGAGGACTATACAAATTGGACTTGTGCTAGTTGACAAAGAGAACAGTACTGAAAAGGAGTGGAAATGGCTGAACAATATGCCACTGAATGCTACGTATTTGTTAGTTTTATATTATTTCTGTAATTAAAAATTAAAACTACTAAAAATTAAAAATTAAAACTACCAAAAACTAAATAGCTACTATAACTGGCTAAAATTTAAAGTTTAAATTCGTAAACTAAATATTTCAATTTAGAAAGTGGGAAATATTGGAAATAAACAAGTCGGAAAAAGTTCTGCGTCCTATTGAACACGACAGGTGTGCGTTACTGAGCATTGATAACAGGATATTAAAAGCTACACCGTGTGACCAAACACCGGATTTCGACTACACAAACCGGTACATTTGTCAACGAAGTCATGAACAGCATAATGAAGTTTGTCATTAACTAATAATTTGAAACATTTATGCTTTGATTGTTTTGAACAAGCAACTGCATCAAATGTGTCCTTAAAATTTATGAGATTTCATGATAATGAAATTACTGTCAGTTTAAAGTGAAATTAGGTGGATCAGAAAAAAGAAAGGCGTAAACCGCAAAATTCCGAAACAATCCTTAACTTATTGCACTACACTCTTTCAATTTTCCAGTTATTAATTGAGAAAATTCCTATCCTCTCAAGATGTTTAGCATTCTTTCTAAATTCCACTCTAACGCCCATAATTATAAGAGTCCAGCACTACAGGAACAGAAAGGGATTACAATGTTGCTTAAGGAAAAGAAGACTTTCAGTGCGAATGTTTAGGAAGAACTGATTCAGGCCATTTCAAAGAACAAAAACGTAATTTACGGCAACTGAGAAACTCACACAGCTCTTGATAATTTATTTTCTAAAAAATTAAAATTGACAACTCAAAAAATATTGTAGCATGAAAAGAAAAACAATCCATTTTACGAGTCTTTTGCGCAATTAATAAGCAAGTTACAAAAGGATGCAACAGTAAAATCGGAACCACGAATGGTACAACTGCAAAAAATGAAAACCCAAATCGTGGATGTTCAAGGGAAAACGGAAGTAAGTGATGAATGGATTCCATTTTTCTTTTTCAATGCCGGTAATTGCACAGTTCCCTATCCTTTATGGTGAGCAGAAATGGGAATTTTCTTGCACAATTGAAAGCAAAAAATTACAGTTGAAAAATCCAAATGGGAGGGAACAATTATCTTCAAAAAAGTCTTCAACACAACCTGAATTCCTATTAATGTCCATTGTATCCCTTTATCTTGAGATGAAATTCTTAAATTGTAATCAGGACAAAATTCTGAGAAAATAAGTTTAGAAAATCACTGAAAATTTTTGAATTTTTAACTCATTACAGGATTTACTATATGTTAGCGGGATGAGAGGAAATTTCACAGACGAGAACAATGAAAATCGCCTTACGAAGATCCAGAAAATTTTGACAAAAGAAACTTTAACAACTGTAGATCCGAATGTTGAAGGAACTGGTGAAGTAGATTTCGGTCTCAAACAAAAGGAACAACTGAAGCAAAAAGGAGAAGATAAGACTGCTGTTGAAAATAAGCATGAATCCCGATTAAAGAATTTTGCCGCAAAACTAAAACTAATAGTCCATAAAGAAGACACCGAGAATAATAAAGATGCTCTCTTGGCTGATGGAAGTGGTTACAAACGCGATTTCCCAATTTTAAGTAACTCAACAAATCCAATGAAGCAAAAGTTCCAACAATCGGATAAGCTTTGTGACGAAAATAACAGAGAACAAAAAGATATGCGACAATCATGCGAACAGTTCGGCGATATCTTTCGAAATCTAAATTTGTTCCTCAAGAAAGAAAAAAGCTCAGACCTACGCGCGCTGCTTGATAATAACGATACTGACAAGACTCTAGTAGAACGCCTCAAAGAGGCACTACATGCCAAAAATGAGACAGAAACGAATAAACTCGATATAACCGAAAAAAAAGCGTCGCATAATAAGATCGGTAACCAGCCACAATTCAATGATAGCATTCAGAAAGTACACGAAGTGAGCAATACACCTGCACATGAAATTGATGATATTACCGGTCTTTTGCTATACAAAAAAAATACCGCAGGAAGACCTATTGTTACGCGTCGCATATATAATGGTAAGACAAAAATATATGGAAAGAATGAATCAGCACGGTCAGAAATTAATGAGGATGGAATTTATGAAATACTCCGAAAAAAACTGAGAATTACGCCTACCAAACACCTACGAAACTTGTCTAACTTGATAAATAAATTAAGCGAAGAAATAAAGTCAAATATAAGTGAGGAAGAAATAAACCGAAATGAAGCCCCAGTGCACTACGACGTGGCAAATGATCAAAAACCTGAATCATCTTTGCTGTTGTTTGCTAATCGAAAGAATAAGGTAACAGAAGAGGTTACTAATGTACTACATACTTTTATCAACAATTCCCAACAAACAACCAAGAGATCGTCCAAATCAAGTAAAGAAACTGGAACTTCACATGAATTATTGAATGACATCACATTGGTCGAGGAACGCAAGGTGGATGGGAATAAAACCAACATCAAAATAGATATTCAAAAAGCTATATCCAGTATGAAACAAAACTTAGAAAGTGCCAGTGAAGAAATCAAACGCCTTTTCTCATATTCACGGCGATAGCCATAACTACTTCATTTTCAAGAAATGTTGCAAATAACACCTGTTTAAATCTTAACTGCTAACTCAGTGAGTTCTAAGATTAGATATGAACTAGTTTTTCCAGTAATTCATGTTAAAATAAAACCAAAGTGATCTGTAATTTTACTGCATATTTTGCTAAACAATAAATTAGTTCTATTCATCTTCAAACACCCAAAATCAAAACTATCGATTTCCATTGGAAATATAGATCTCAATTTGGACTTCATAACAATGCGAGATGGTAAGCAACATCACTTCTGAATTCATTTGTATATAAAAGTCAATTATCAACGCAACAAAGGCTTCGGCGAAGATTAATAGCACGTATCTCATATTTTACGATCCTTAAATCTAATTTCAAAAAGCTTTGAAATCTCAAGATGCAGAAGATAATAAAAGCAGCGGCAACCGAAGACATCGGACTCAAAGAAAATAAGTCCTTGAATTTCATGTAAGCCGAAAATACGAAAAGTTCTTGAATCCAAAAAATATATCCATGAACGACTACTTCAGAAGAAATTTCTCTCCAAAAACTTTCAAAATCCCCCTACAGAAGTATTCCAAAATTCAATCCAATTTACTTATCAGACCTATTTAGACGAATCTGCTGTCTCAAGAAAACGAAAAGAAATTGAAAACAAATGCGTGTAGTAAAAAATATTATAATAGTATATATACTAACATGAAACGAATATTTTTTTAAAACAAGCAATACCCGACAATATATCGCAGCCAAGATCAAATGTAAAACACGCAACACGCGAAGAAGTCTTTTTCGAAAAGATTGATATGAATTAAAATTATAATAAAAAATAATCTAAAGCAAGATATTTTTTACAAATTATACCTATGTGAAACTTTTGTTAAAAACAAACTGAAAGTTCGCGATCTCAAGTGATCTGTAATGTGAAACTCTTAAGTCTTCTCTAAATGAACTAGAAAGGTTTTTTCATCTTTCATATTGACGAAAGAACGGAGTTGCATAAAAATTGATTTTTTGACAATAAATAAATAAAATGTAAAAATCTGAAATTTCTCTCAACATGAAAGAAAAAATTTTTAAAAAAGTCAATTCTTCACGAGTCCGAACTGTCGAAACTGTTCTAACTTATACATTGTGGTGAGAAGCTTCCACCGGAAATGGAAGGGTACCGAAATGTTGAGGAGCTAGATGCGATATTTTCGTACCTCGCGGAGGCAAAGGAGGTGGTACAACTTGAGTATCAGCTGGTCTGAAATAGAAAAGTTTCTTGAATTAATTTAACTCCATGTATACTCAAAGGGCAGCTACTCTATTAGTATCCTAGTTATCGTTCTGCACAAACAAACTCTCTAGTACTATGGCGGATACACAAGAGCGTACTGAAATACTAAGCTAGATCTCCTCAAGCAATATGTGGCAACAGCATTCAACTGTAAAACCAAAAGCCTTAAAATATACATTTTTTCGTATTGAAATTTCAAGAAATTCAATTAATTAGCAACAAAACTGCATCAATTTACCTCTGAGCTAGCTTTATTGATTTAAGAGTTGCATCATCATCTGCCATTTGCAAGGATGACGAAGAGATTGATTTCAATGGATGTTCAAAACGTGAAAAATCAAGTGTCGATCGAGAAGTGGAACTATTTTCATTGGAATTGTAATCAAAGCTGCGATCGGATGACGACGAAATTCGTTTCGCAATTCTGAATGTATCTGTTGTATCCAAGGATATTAGTCAATAATAAATTAGTGTAGAGAGCTTTTACGATCTAATTTGATATTAACTTGTTTATAAAGAATACAAAACCCGCTCACCCATTCTCGAACGCACTTTTCAGATCCGATTTTAGACCACTTGATTTCCTGGGAGTTGTTCGTCCACTTTTCGTAGCACCACCACCTCTTTTAAATACACTCATGACAGATGGAGTGCTATAATGTTGAACAAATAGAAAAATAGGTGGAAAAAAATTATCATTCAGTACAAAAGATCAACAAAAATTCTGAGTGATGATAAATTTAACCTTGAAGTTTCAAAGCTGCTTGCTCTTCGATCATCTCCTTTCTGTTGACAAAGATGGATAGAGCAACCTGGCGGCAGCTGTGAGGCCTGAATTATAAAAATAAGTAAGGATGCATTACAACAAATACTGTTGCTCTCAAAAGGATGCTTATGCAAAGCCGCGCCGTATAAAGTAAGCAAGACTTTTGGTCTAAGATATCTGCATTTATTTTTTCTTATCTAATCCACTATACAGATATTCCTGAATCAATCAGGTTCGTTGAATCAAGAATAATTTTTAAAAAAGTTCTACAAGATTAGCTAGTCCTTACCACTTTTCCAAATTGTTTTTCAATATTTGCTTTATATTCGTAAAAAGAAGCTACAAGGGACTCGTGAAACTGAACATTCACTTGATGGTCTCGGGATGCATGTGCATATAAGCAAAATTCCAAAATTGGCACCTGAAAGCTGATAACATCAATGTTAACCATTGCAAAAGCAAAAATCTTGAAAATGATAAGAATTTTAAGAACTAACCTGGTTTCTGATTAATGTCCTCAACTGACGCACCAGCTCATGTTCTTCTGATGTCAAAACTGACGCACATTGATCAGAGAAAAATATCTGAAGCAAGAATATGACCATTTTGCCGTATGAAAGAAAACTCATATCTAAATTTACAGGGTTTAAGAAACCTAAAAATAAAGAAAAACAGCCAGAACATTCAAGTCAAACTTTGTAGTTTTTGATTCCTCCTTGTACAAATGCCTGCACAATGCCTCGAATTTTGCCTCCCAATGGAACAACTGATTCTAAAGGTGTAGAAAGTACCACATGTGCCATTTCTTCCATTTCTTCATTATTTTTCTGCATTGTTGTCACAGCTTCCATCAGTGGAGAACACTCAATCTGCGAAAAAAAGCAATCATTGATCTAAACATGAAGACCTATCGTGGTGATAATTAATGCTGACTTGAATTTAAACATACTATATCGGAAAAAGTGGTAATCTGCGACCAACGTAATATGTTGGGCAATTGTTCTTCAATAGAAACTGATCGTCGGATTACCCACGACCGCATGATTTCGTTATCTTCCAGATCTGTCCACTTTGTTCCTTTTCGAATTTCACCTTTGGAAAATTCAAATTTTTGTACCTGAAAATCTTATCCAATGACATCGCTTAGCTTCCAATGAAATAGAATGATAGATCATACATCAACATTTTGCATCGCACTGCACGCGATGCCCGTGTAATTTATTCATGAATAAAAGAACTTCCAGAGAATTATTGTGGTATTACTACCATGCTTACAGTATTAATTACGAATTTTTTATTTTTTTCATTTTTGATAAAAAAGGCTAAATACCCTGTTGTTTTTGAAATACCATCGAATTAGACGATTGCTACATTTCTTTTCCCAACAACTTTCAAAAAGCGGTTTAACGGGAAAAATTTGCAAAAACTTGTTCTCGTGCTTCGAAAGATGCGAACATTCATCCATTGTATTAATTAACTGAGCACCAGGAAAAGTTGACAGCATTCGATGGTGAAAACTAACAATGGCCTAAATGCAAGTAATTTATCAGTGCAAAAGTTCCTAAGCAATCCGAAATATCTAATATACTGAAAACTAAAGTGTTCAGAAAAATTCACTTCGCATTCATTTCCACGATAGATGAATTGTCGATTGTTCAAATAGCTAGGAAAATTAAGGCCATAAAATCCAACGAAGAAATACGTGCATGCAACTCGCCCTTGTGTACTCACTTTGTGATATAATTCAGCAAGACGCTGCTAAAAAATTAGCTTCGAATAAGTTTCAACTTTATAAAACGTAAAATTCAAAGAAACACGAAAAACTTCGCGAATTGAACTAATTTTGAGAAGTTGAAATTATCGACTGAATGAATATACTGATACAAACAAAGACTTACCAGAAGACTTGGTAATTTCTCGTACTCATAATTCTTTTCATATTGAAATGTCAGTTCTTTTAAAATACCAATAGATTCTTCCCACAATTCTTTTTCATCAAAAAGATTAGCCGCTTCATTATAAAGTGCTTCTTTGAGCTGACGCTGTGTACCACACTGCCGATTTAAATGTGCATTCAGAACAGCAGTCGGTAACTCACACTCCGCCCACTATATTCGGAATTCATTAGAATCAAAAAAAAAAAATGAGAATATGGTAACCCTACTCTACATCTTAATTTGCTTGAATTTTTATCATCACCTGAGAAGTGTCGTTATATTAATGTTCACTAAGATATTGTGCCCAAATTAACATAGTTCAACTAGTATCTCAACCAATATTAGTATGAAAATTCAAACCGCTATTTTCAGAACCCCTGCCGACAAAAGTGTGTCCTTGTTAATATAAAATGAAAGGAATAAAATTTTCGAAAAACACACCGACAATGTTTCAGCATGTTTCAGAAGTGTGAAAGCTGCCTCAATTTTATTGTTGCTAAGCATGTGAAGATCATAAAGCTTATAAACGTAGTTGATATAAAGATCAGCTTGACCAATAAGTTTATAAAATTTCTGAAAATTTAAGAAATGGTCTAGTAAATAAACAGATTTTCTAACTTATTTATCAAATCTTAGGGTTTTTAAATTGTAGAAAGGCTGATGAAAACTTCATTTAAAAAAAACAAAACAAACTAACCAACAATTCAACAGTTCGGTCCATTCCGTTTTCTATACAGTAACCATTTGTTCGTACTTCACGATATTCAAAAAGATGTTGTAGAAGAGTATCAACTAAAACCACAAATTTGCAGCCTTCTACAACAAGATCCGTATCTGAACGACTCCTGAAAATTTTGAGACGATTTCAATATCATCAATAATTTCCATAAACCTTCCCTATAAAATTAGAAAATGATACTTACATATCCATCATGATATTATGCAACTGCTCCTTGAATTTTTCTCCACCGCAGTCTTCGTCAACCAGACAGTCCAGTTGCATTATAGTCT